ACACTTAAATAAAGTTTTGAACCAAGAAAATGTTGTGTTCAATCAGTTTGAACCAGTAGGTACTTTATGATGATGGCACGGTTATCCTCTTTCGTTTGAGCCTAATTTCACCTTCGCACGATCACTGGTTTTTTGGCTTAGAGCCAGCCCTGAAATTCAATTGAGATTTTTAGCATTCCTTGGCTAGGTTCCAAACAGGCTCTCATGGGGGCGGGGCTTAGATTGTTGCTATGTCCTAGTGAGTAATCAGAGACAGCGAGCATGACTGTAACCTGCAGGCACTCCCCGAATAGAGCTAGTTAGGCTCGGGTTCCTAAGTTCCCTCACCCCAACATACACGTTCAATGAGATAAATTGAGACGCTGGAGAGTGAAGTCAGAGCTGCCCGTTAACAATTTGAATGGCTTATTGTACACGATTAACTTTTTTTCAAAGACCCAAAGAAAAACGTGCCTGAATAGCTATTGGTCCTTTACGTGATAGTGCTAATAAAATCAAACACATGAGCTTGGAAATTTTAAAATTCGGGTTTGCTAAAAAATGCTACAACCCCAATACTCGCAATATTGATGCATCTCTTTCCTACATTACGTGATAGTGCTAATAAAATCAAACAGATGAGCTTGGAAATATTAAAATTCGGGTTTGCTGTATCACTAGCACTTCGATTTTCTGGCAGCCCTTTTTAAACTGGAGGCTGGCCCTCTGAACGTTAATAAGTGAGATCTTGAAACTAGCAAAAAGCAGCACCCACTCTACTTTTGGTTTTGTCAGAGTTCAATTTTGAGAACTTTGACGATTTTACAGCAAGAGACTGGACAAACGGGCATGATGAATATAAATGCATAAAAAATCCAATTATTTCATATGTCCCCTTCTCTTGAAACGTGGATATTTTGTGAAATAATTAGCCAAGGTCATCAATAACCTATGCGGCAGAAGAAAAAGTATTGAAGCTAAATTCAATTTTATCATACATTAACACGAACTTTGCAAGAACAACCATAAGATTCCTACCGGGGGGGGGGGGGGGGGGGAATCGTGTTGAAGAATCAGGGAGGGAAGGGGGTCGTTATCAAGGCGTCCGCATTCCTACTTTCACGCCTCTGTGGCTACCTGTAATGCTTTTAACGATGTATCACTAATGCTTCGATTCTCTGACAGTCCTTTTTAGGCTGGAGGCTGGCTCTCTAAACTTAATAAGTTGAAATCTTGAAACTACGGCAAAAAGTAGCCCCCGCTTTACTTTTATTTTTATCAAAGACAATTCCAAGAACTACGCCATCAACAAAGTAAACAGAAATCGACGTAGGATTGCAGTCCGGATTGTAGCGCAATTATTTTTGATGACATCTTCTGATCTTGGATCTCTTCGCCTCGTTTTTGAAATTCTGGAGAAGACTGAGAATGAGCACGGATGAGATGTTTTTGAGCAAATTTGATTTTTGACACCTTCGGCTTGCTTCCAAGTTGTTTTGACTTCTCCGTTTTTTTTGTGCCCCTCTGAGGCAAGATCAGCAATCTACTAGATTCTTTGCTTTTGTTTGGAGCTACACAATCAATAATGATTTTGAATATTTTTCGTGTGCACGATGGAACACTTAATTTTTCTGAGGGACCAGGTAAATAATTATGGTAATCACTTGACTGTCGTCGCAGGAAAACAAGCACCGCTATTCAAACACCTTATGAATAATGATAGCAAGTTCAGAGAAAGTGGTTGCTTAGGAGCTACTGCGCTTTGCTAAAGTGCTTGACGCATGCCGTTGAAGTGTGAAGCGCGAGAGCTTCTGGCAATGTGCCAATTACGGAAATCGGACCCGCGAGCCCCGTCTACGCACGGCACCACACACAAGCATGCAGACAATTGACCGCTGGTCATCTGGCGTGTTGCGACCACCAGCCCCCCGACGACGACGACGAGGGGGCCACGCCCCGCACCCGGCTCTCTTCGTCGCCTGCTCACTCGCTCTCCGGGGGGAGACCACCCCTCTAGGCTAATCGAAAGCCCCGCCGCTACTCGGCTTCACCCCTTTCGCAACCATCAAGACACCCCCACTATCTCTTTCTAATATTCCACTCTATCTTCGCTTGCCAATTTTCCCACGCTACCAGCTAATTTTTTCGCCTACATCCTCCGTTAATTCCATAGTCACGGCTATTTGTGGACTAACAACCCGCTAATCGACCTCGGTACTGATCGATAAGTGGTTGGTTGCTTGTTGGCCACCGGATTGTCACCTCCACCCGTTCAGAAGATCTCGCTGGACTCGGAATCTTCGTCTCAGTACGCCGTCACGATGGCGAGCGAAATGAGCCGAGTGAACAACTTCTGCTGCGAATGCGCAGCCACGCAGAGCCGTTGCAGTGCTGATAGCTGTCCATGTGTGGCTGCAAGGAAGACCTGTGATGAACATTGTGAAAGCACAAGGTTTGTTCTGCAAGTGTTGAAAACTTAGAGAATTTCCGCTTTTTCTGATTTGAAAATATGAGTGTTGGGAGCGGTAGTAAGGCTTTTAGACTCTTTTTGGGGTTCGCGCTTTAGACGTCGTACTTGTTTTGAGTTTTTTCCTTGATGATCGAGAATTTTGGCTAAAACAATCTTTTCTCAAAGTCTAGGAGAATGAATTATTCTTCTTTCTCCACTTACTTACTCTTTATCCCTTTAAAACATATTCTTCTTTCGTGACGCAAGACGTCAATCTAACCAAGCCATCTTTCAAGCTCATTGTTCCCTGTACTTTAGAATTGCCGTTGATGCGGTCATCTGCCTTTAAACCTCATCTCTTTTGGGAATACTTGAAGAGCAAACACCAATTTTTTCATGATTTTTGAAGATGTAGATAATCAGAGCAATGTGTCATCACTTATTTAGACTACAAAAATCCATTTGATCGAGCTTCCATTCCATTATTTCTTCTATTCCATATCAGTCAAATGTATCTATTCCTTAAAAAATTCTCTGCACATTTTCACTCTTTCTTCAATCATGCAATTATTTGAGAAAAAAATTGTGTTGTCACTAAGACATTGGTCTTTTGCTCATTGTTTTGATTCGTTCATTTTTTTAATCTTCACATAATCAATCATACATCATTTTTATTTGCATGGCTAACAAATTTCAATCAGGGAATTCAAGCTATTCCTTTATTTTCGCACGTAAAATTTATGGTTCATTCTACAACCTTTCTTCACAATTTTTTACTTGATTTTTTTTCTATGTATCACTCCTGCTGTCGAGTCTGTTTACATAGAATGTGCAATGGCATATAAAATCGTCGTGCCAGGTTAATTAAGCTGAAAATCATTCATACATGCTTGAATCGAAATTGTTTTTCTTCTCTTTTCACTCTACAGCTGGAAAAAAGCTGTTACGGTAATTCTGGCATCGTGCCAAATCCAATTAAGTTTTTGAAGACATGGTGTCTTGAAGCATGGTACCCCTCCTAAATTTCTATGTTAACGGTTTTTTTCCTGGAAATTTGCCAATTCTGCTCAATGTGCGAATTGCGGCCATCATTTTGGTGTCGAATATGCCATTAGCTCATAGCATCTCGCTCGTTCTCTCCTCACACGGGGGTCCGTGCGTGTGTGTGAGTCCGAGTGTCCATGTGTTGCAGTTCCTCATATTGATTCTCATTCAATCTCCGTAATGCACGGCTTTCCACGCCAAAGCGTCCCCCTTTAGTGCTTCTCAGCTCCCTCAGTCGCGAGCCGCGCGTCAAATATCGAAATCGTTCGCTAAGCGCCCGACGCAATGCCGCGAAGAATTTCGTTGCCATTGCTTCGAAATTTGATTTTACATCGTTGCTTTGGAAAAAGTTCGCTGAAAGGAACATTCTGGAAGTTCTGGGGGCTGAGAAGGGGAACAGCTTGGAGAAGGAGTGCAGAAATTATAAAGAAAAACATGAAAGTGCAAAAAATTGTAGCTCTACATCTTTATGATCTCCCATTATCAGATTTTTAGAGCGGCATATGACTACAGTAATATTATTAATTTTTCTGAAGCAGAATTCATGTGCTCTACGGAATTCGCGCATTTTTGTGTCATTTTTTACCGCGCTCTTCTATAAAAGTGGTATATCTTTGTTGAATGGGAATCTTATTTGCTCCTTTGAATTTATAAATGGAAACACAAGAATACTCCTTATTTTGTGTGACGAAAAATCAAGGGAGTACAATTAAGTTCATTGTAGATTCTTAAGTCTATGGTTTGCTTTTACTAATCGTTGTTTGTTGTTTCAGAAGGCTCTCTTTCTGAGCTTTGCATTTGATTCTTGATGGTTCTGATACATTTCTCTCTTCAGCAGGCAAAAGTTGAAGCTATCGGAAGAATGCTTCATTTTTTTGTTTCCTCACACTGATCAAATGTTATCGAAGAAAAGTTTCTGAAAGAAAGGAAGGTTGCATTGTCCTTACCACTTTATTACAAAAGCCTGTTAATTACTACACAAACAAAAATAAATTTGTAAACAATTAGGCAATTCAGTCGTGGAAACGCCAGTGGCCATATACAAACTCTTTGCTAAACAGGTTGATCCTACTCTGTCGGCACTTTGAGTGAACGAGTTCTTTGAATTTCTTCAAAGTCAAAATTTCGGTACCTTTTATCTTTGTTTTATCTCATATTGCTTCTTATAAATTTCTACATAAACTTATGAGTGTGTAGTCCTTTGGATTGTAACATATCTCCTATATAGCTTGTACTCACTACTAGCGGCTATAATTTAAATAAGGTGTACCTTACAAGGACCTTTATCCAATGAAAGGATAAAAAACATACAGTTTCCGTTAGGTCAAAATTGATCGCAAATTGTGTGGGAAGATTGGCATGATTATAACAAGGCAAAAACGCTTTGCATGATTTACTCGTTTTTTATCAAATTCGCATCTGTCTTCGACGTAGACCATCAACTGCGTTTATTTGCTTTAGCTTACGTCAATGTTCACTCAAATTTTCGCCTTCTTATTCCTTCCGATAATGGCCCCTAACGATCGAGACGATTGTTAGTTATACATCGTAAATCAAAACGAAATATAGCCCTTTTCGCATCATAGTAACATTATAGAGACACTTTATTTTATTCTCTGCACCGCTATTGGTATTCTCATTTTGTAATGATTTTATTTGCTTATATCTGTTAGGCACAAGTCATCAAATACAGACTAACATTGAAGGTACTTAGGACATGATCAACAACAAAGAAAACCAAAAATCCAAGTCGGCTCAAGTTCAGCTACAAATAGTTATCGAGGAAAAATAAGAGATAAAGCCTTTACGGGGAATGTATATGTAAATCCATATAACTGGCACAGAAGCTCAGTTTACCTCACATAATTCTCTCTATTCACCGATCTTCTTGCAATTTATGAAAGTCTGCCATATCTCAAAACGAAAGAATAAGAATGTCGTAATTTTACGCATGCTTTTTCAGTTTAATCCTACCTTAATCAACTTCGTTTTGCCCTTTTCAAGTTTTATTAAACGTCCACAGAATAAATTATAGGCTTCAAAAATTGCTGTAGTGTTAAATAACAAATTCATCATCAATTCTACAACGATTTCCTCGCTTTCAGGATCTCTCCTCCTTTTTTTGCCTTTTTGAATAGAAGCATCATGCCTTTAGTAGTATGCTTGCTATTTTTGACGACTTTTCTGACTCATACGCACTTCGTTGGGATTTGCTTACTCTTCAATCTCTAGAGCCCACGTCAAGTCTTCCGCTTTGGATTTGGGCTCGCACGCCACCACCCTCGCCGCTACTCCCTCGGGTGTTTTTCAGTGGGTTTCCAGTTCAAACGATCCGCTTTATGCTTCCATCACTCATCGAATGAGGCGCTTGTCAGTCCGTAGTGTGAAATAGCTAGTGCCCTAATGAAGGGGTGTGTGTCTATGTATTCAAGGGGCTAATAGGCTTCTCAAATTCATCGCGAACACGACAACTCGTCCCATCGTGCGACACACGCAGTCCGGGGGTGTCAGTACACCTACTCAGGGATTCGCGCCGTGCGGGCGGTCCTCATTAAAGCTCCTCCGCCTGAGCGCACTGCATAGTTTTTGATGTACCGTGCGTGCGGTCAACAATAAAAATGCCGTGCAAGCGGAAGACAGTCTACCCGTTCGATCGGCACGCAATAAAATCGACCGTGCAAGCGGCAGGCAATGCGTCCGCACGATCGGCCAGCAATTACTTAATCGTACAAGCGGCAGGCAATTCTCGCCGCGCAATCGGTACGCAATAAAACCGACCGTGCAAGCGGCAGGCAATGTGTCCGTTCGATCGGGCGGCAAACATTTGCCCGTGCAAGCGGCCAACAGTGACCTCTACCTTCGGCTCATTGTTTTCACACACTGTGAGCGTAAACGGTACCTGCATGAGATACGACGCAGCGTTTAGGCTGGCTAAGCGTCGACTATCGTGTTATCAACATTTCCCTTCACCGCAAAGCTGGAATGAACCTGCGTGAGGCTACAGTTATCAAGAGTGATGGTGTGGGCTTCTCCATGGAAAGTTTGAATAGTGCGGCAGGCATTAGTCCGTGTTCGCAGGATGTGAAAATGCTTAACATACCGAAGAAAAATGGTTAAAATACCCCATATAAACCTACTCCAGCAGCAAGCGAGCGGCCGACCTTCCTCGCGCAGGCGGCGAGCATTAGAAACCGTGCGGGCGCCCCACGTTAACCGTGCTAACGGCCCTTGACGACCGTACAATCGCACACACCAACGAGCGATTGTAAGTTCGTCGCTGGCCGCCCGCACGGTGCGAGTCCCTGAGTATTAGGCGTTGACAGATGGCTGTGAAGCTGTCGAATAATGCACGAAGAACGAACGCTAGTGCACATGTAACGAGCGTTATCCATTTTATTTGCAGATATCGAGGCGACTGCTTGAATCAGGCAATTTGTAAGTGCTCGTGTGAGGTGGACCCAGCAAAACCGGCAAAAAATGCATGCTCTAAAGCGGAACGATGCGATTGTTTGCGAATCAAGGAGGGATGCAGTAAATTATGTGCTTGCAAGCAGATTTGCAAAAATAAGGTAAGGGTTCCAAATTTTATTTTTTTACGAAACATTTTGCCATGCTATTCTCTTCGGTGGCCTTTCCGAACTACCTTTTGAAAATTTTTGGAAAATCTCAAATGTATTAGCGTAATCAGACTCCTGTCTTAGATAACATTACCTATACGCAAATAATTTGATAGTCCATGCCTGCACTTTTTTACCAATTCTCCTTTTTTGTGTTTTTTACATTTCTACAACGACTGAACAGTATGTACCTTTCTTGTGGCGCCAACCTGAGCTCCCCATGATGGGTCTAACTGCTGGAAATTTGCCAAATAATCGAGGTATTCTTGCAATGACCATGAAATCTTTTCTAATGTAAGTACCAAACGATGGATTTGTCTACCCAACTGTAGGAATAGCTCCTTCTCGAAAAAAGCAGTACCTCGTTCTAAGCTCGCTTATAATCCAAACACATTCCATCGTCTCCAAAACCGCTCTTTTTTCCTCCCAAATGATGCCGACGTTGCCCACTTCTCAGCCATTCAGAATTTTAAAACAGCCTTTGGCTGTTGAAAAAAGTCGTAGACGGGATTCTAGAGCTCTCAAGAAGTGGTGAAGAGACAATAGGCATGGAAAATTTAACTTGGGGGGGGGGGGAAAGTTTGCAGAAGCAGTGGAAGTTTTTTCTGATAGTACTGATTATTATAGCAAGATTACTTCTAAAATGTATAAATCTATGGAGAAGCGAATACGCTGAATAAATTTATCCCACGGAGCAGATGTCATCTACCTAAGGTCACATGAGAACAATAGGACGATTACAAGCAGCTGTTGAAAATACATGCAATAGGTTTTCGTGACGCTGTTCAAGAGGTGTTGTTATTTTTGTTTCAATTTTCTTATTAGTCATCACTCTTATTTGCCGCTGCTAAAAAAATCACTCTCAGTTATCTTCTTAAGAAGCTCCCAGGCGTGAAAAAATTCTAATTCAATATGTAACATTTGTCCTTTGGTTTTATTTGTCTAAAGGACTATTAAGGCTATGGCCAACTTTTAAATGCTATGGTTTTCAAGGTAATTGAAAATTAGTCTGAAAATGAGTTTTCTAGCATTTCGTTGAAAATAGTAAAACATTATCTTTTTTTGAAGCTGACAGAAGGGACTGGAAACCCTCAAGTACATGAAAATTGTTCTGGGATTTATGAAAGATTACCAAATAAATAAAGTCTAAAAATCTAAAATTCATTCCGATAAAAATCATCTATTCAATTTATTGAGATTCTGTGCTCATAATGCATCAAGCCCAACCTCTTCTTAACATACACTTTCTCTCTCCACAGTCTCCCTTTTTTTCTTAAAAAATAGGAAAACGAGAGAAAAAACGATTGTTGCTTGCATGTCTGATGGGTAGCTGACGGTGATTAGCGCATCTTGTTTTTTGCCTTCCAGATGTTCATCCATGCGAGTATAATTGCCTGCGAATCTTTAAATAACTGGCAACTCGCTGCCCTGCAAAGGGAGCAAATTATTTTACGATCTCGAAAGTCAACAAGTTGAATTTTAACTCACTTGTCATTCTGAAAGGTTGGTAATTCATTCATCATTAATTACGTGCGCTAACGCAATTGCGAATTAATTGCGTCTTCGAATTATCGTTAGTGGAAAACGCAGTATTTAAACGCAAGGGCTTGCTAATAAATCTTCAAATGACACTGTCTTGGCCTGTTTAAAACTTCTATTCAATGATTCTCACTCTTCTTTCTTTCTTTTCTTTCTTGTTAGAAACCTCCTTGCCTTTGATTGCCCACATTATTCATAACATACGTCATAGGAACACAAAAAATCTCCATTGCTTTTTTCCGTCAATAATTGTCCTCGTCGAAAAATTGTCGCCCAACGCCTCCGAGCAGTTATGGTGAATAATGCATGTTGGCGTGCGAAGTGAAGTTGAATGAGAAGTTTCCGGTCAGGCCAACAATGCCGGGGGTCTTGGAGCTGTCGTTCCTGGAAGAAATACCTAATATATGCAGCGCGAGCTCTCGGATTTGAAGAAATGTATTTTGTGGTATATCCTAAGTGCGTGGGATACATGATTCCGTAACGTAGACCGGAACTTCCAGTTTCTTTTCAGAAAAAAAAAGAAATTTCTGAAGTCTGCTTACAGACTTGCGTTCTATCTACATCTTCTGATAAAATCATTATTGATGAACATTTGTGAATGTGAAAATGGATAATGCTTTGCCGCCCCAAATAAGAAAACTCATTTTTGGAGTTTTTGAAACAGCATCATGATTTGCCCTGCGAGAAGGGGTTGAAAGAAGAAGGCAAGCAAAATTCCGGGATCCAGGTTCACAGACTATTTTTTGATGTATACCAGCTTTGCATTTCGACAAGACAAAGACATTATCACAGAGAATTTTATCAAACATCGAAAATGAAATGTTATATTCACAGAAAAATTGGTTACCTTAATCTTCTACATTCAATAAAATACTTCATGCGTCCCTCCAATTTTATAGATATAAGTGGCATTTTGTTTGCAGTTGAAACATATTCCACTTTCTCCCATTTGGAAAAACAGGTGAAGAACTACTTATGTTTTTCAGGAACAACCCAAAAAAGTAGCGAAAACCACGAAACCAGCTCAAGGATGTCAATGTGCCAAAAGTAAAAAGCAATGCATAAAGAAGGAATGCCCATGTCGGACAGTCTACGAATTTTGTTCAGTTAGGTAAGTGGGATTTTTTTAATCAATTTATGAATAGGATTTGGCAATAGGTTCTATAGGCTATAGTTGAATCATTCCCACGATCCACCAATTTGTGTCCAAAACAATTCCGAGCCATGAACTCTTTAGTCGTAGCTCTCATTTTTACTCAAACGTAGGCGAAGATCCAAATTGGATTACGTCGGCGCACTCATTTTCTTGGTTCCGACATGCTAGTCGTGCTTTGTTTTGGGTCAGAGGATCTATGGACTGTGGAAAATTTGCATTTTTTAGTTGCAAATGCTCCGGAGATTGTACAAATGGTGGATCGAAGTTTACAGTGCCGAAACATGTCCAAAACTGCTTTTTAGATCATAAACACGAGAGTAGTGGTCTAATTGTCACTTTATTAGGTAAGCTGAATTTTTTTGAGAAGGTGACCTTTTTTCCCCTTCTGTAAGTGGTCCCTGATTTATTTCCATTTTAGGAGAAGATTACCTCTATCGAGGAGACTTTTATCACGAGTCCAAAGGCGAACCTCATGTTGAAGAGCAGCTTGTGGCCAACATCTACGATTTGATCTCCAAATACAATGCAAGTGCATCTTCCGACTTTTTTTCCACTTCCTGCTTTGGTAAAATTGCATTTTCTCTTTGAGCAGAGGCTCTCTTCGACGAATTCTTCAACATTGAAGGCGCTTGGCACTCATGAATAGAAATGCACTTTTTTGCAGGTGAATTTGCATGAAATAGCGATTTTCGTGTCGAAATCGCCATGTTTTCATCAAGATTGTGATCCAAAATGTGAAGTGGTGGACGAGTGCAAAAGTAATAAGGCATGCGCCAAATTATTGGGACTTTTATTGAGTAAGGTAGGTACAATTCAGAGTAGTACGACTTTCAACGGGTGCGTGGCGTTAGGTACCCAGCCGAGGTGCGGGCGTTAGATACCCAGCCGTTAGTGGTATACACTAAGCCACGCCCCTTGGCTGCTTTAACAGCGGGTACCTAACGATACACCAAATTCTAGCTGCTAGAACAGCCCACCCTAGCTCGCTGAAGCGCTGGGGCTTGCACCACATGAAAAAATAGTTCAAGAAAATCAAAAAAAAATGCGCGAATGAAAGCGCAAGTTTAAAACTCCTTTTCTATTGTTTTTTTAAAATCAATATTAGAACCACAGAAATCCGGGATGAAAGCTGAAAACAAGGTAAGGATTTTATGAGCACTTCACGTAGTTTTGCAAAAAATTGTGATAATTTGATCTAACCGATAAGTCAGCGGAAGTTTCAAAAAAGTAAACTTTGTGGAATTAATTTTATGATATTATTGAAGCAACGCGCACTTTTGGAGACGCTTCTGGCAAATAAGTTGCACGAAATATCCCTTTGTTCCAAAAAACTGCAAATATATTTTTGACAATGAGAAGAGGAACCGATTGAAAGAAGAGCTTCGACAAGAACTGTCATCAGGAATCGGTTTAAGGCGACTATGTGGCCTTTTGATATGGGAAAGGCACTAGCTCTGTTCCACTTCACGAAAATTGTAAAGCTATGCCAATTTCGGATGAGTGTCGCCAAGAGAATGCAACAGGAAAAAGCAGCATCTCTACTGAGAACGATTATTGGGAAAATCTTTCGCTCTTTGAGGAGTTACAAAAAAAATTCGTAGCTTTGGTTGGATAAACTGAGCGTATTTTGGCTGCTAGAAAAGAAAATGAGTATGAAACAATTGCAATATGAAGGCCACCAAAAAGCATTACAGAGAACGTAGCCTTGATGAAATACAGTAGCTCAATGAAATTTTCACACGAGAAATCTTCCAAAATAAAGAAAAATGTGTGCTTATCAATGCCCCGTATATCTGTTGGTCTTAACTATGACCGAAATAATAACCTTAATAATCTACGTTGACATAGTTCACGATTACTGTGGCAATATTAACGCAAATGTTACGACCCTTTACTTCACACCTCAAAACGAGCCTGATGACAACATGTGAAAGGAATATTCCGTTTGATATTTGCCAGGGGCGCATCCGAAAGTGCGCTTTTCTTCATTAAAATCATAAAATTTTGGTTTATTGGTATTCTACAAGGTTTACTTTCACAAAATTCTCTCTGACATTATCGCTTCAGGTTATCACAATTTTTTTGCAAAACTATGTGAACTGCTCATAAAAGTCTTACCCTGTTTTTAGCTTTCATCACTGAATTTCTGTGGTTCTAAAATTGATTTTAAAAAAAGCAATAAAAAAAGCGTTTTAAATAAACTTGCGCTTTCATTCGCGCATTTTTTTTGATTTTCTCGAACTATCATTTTTTCTGTGGGTCGCAAGCGCCAGCGCTTTAGCGAGTTTGGTGAGCCTTTCTAGCAGCTAGAATATGGTGTATCGTTAGGTACCCACTGTTAAAGCAGCCGAGGGGCGTGGCCTAGTGTATACCACTAACAGCTGGGTACCTAACGCCCGCACTTCGGGTGGGTACCTAACGCCCGCCCCCCACTTTCAACTACTATTATGAAAAGTTTTTTTAGGTCAGAAAAGAACTAAAGAAAGTTGATGTGAAAATGACGGTAAAATTTCTTTACCCACATTTGAATCGTGGTGATCTCTACACGAAACAAGGCATCCTGTGCATGCTGCAAGCTGGAATAAAGGTTAGAATTTTGCATTTTTTCCTTTTTTGGCTTCTGTTATCTGCAGGTATAAAGCTTGAGTTCAAGTATATTTTTTCTTCTCTAGTACACCTAATAAAAAACCTGCACATAGAGATTATGAACTCTTCTTGAGTAATTGCATACCTCTAGCTCATCATCATCAAGGTCATCAGCTTATAATCGGTCTAAAAGATACCATTCAGCAATTGCTGCTTCTTGTAAAATTAAAATCCGCTCTTCTTGAAATTACTACATAACATTTACGTTGCCGTTCACCTGCCCTTTGCAAGCGGCTACCTCTTAAGAGATAATTTGTCCAAAAATCTTGGCGTCCTACCGTAACCAACATAGCTATTGCACTTCGTTCACTGTAATCTAATCTGCACTACGTTGTTGTTTTTTTGGCATTCGCAAATTTGGTCTTATGTATCTTGTAATTGACGTACTTACTGACGCAGCCAACCTAAAAGTCGCGGCTGTCGCAGCGACGCGGTTGCAGCTGTCAGCGCATCTTCTGTACACATTGTCTTTCTCCGATATGCTTCGCTCCAAAACCGCGCCGCTACAACAGACGCAGCTTGTATACTAACTGCGTTTTCACCTATACTAGTTGATTGTTGTCGATGATGCTCGCTAAGCTGAGCAGGTGAAATTCTCCTTCCTATCTATGAAGCAGATTGGTTTCATTCCTCGGGGAAATTATACGAAAAATCTCTTGAGCTCTTGCAGCTTTGCTTCCAGTACTTGTTTTCTCCCTTCAAAAAAGCTTCTATTCACAAAGCGCTCTCCATGCACACTTTAGCGCGTATATTCAGAAGGGAGGGGCATCTTATAGGCAGTTGTTCCTCGTCCTTATCAACTCGTTTCCTGCTTCCCTGGAGTGCTTGCGTTCAAAGGAGAATAAAGGTGTAGCGTAAAGAATGTAGTCTGAATGTAGGGATCAAGAATAAGCTCTATATTGTGAAGAAGCTTTTGAAGGGCATATTCATAGTGTACACAGATGCAACTTGATCTGTTTGCGATGCTTCATTTTTGCAGGCGCAAGTCTTCATTTCGTGGGTGAATAGCTCGCTAATTTTGACAGGGCCGAAATGACATTTATAATTTTTGAAGCTATCCAAGCGTTCTGCAATGTTGCGATAAAGGTTGCTATCGCGACCGAAGCTGTCAGCATTTGTACTAGGGAAATAACGATTAGTTTTCACGCCAGTGCGTGATTAAGCGTTGCACTAGGTTGGCACAAGTTCTGTTGAACTTCGGAAAGTCCATAATTCTTCAAATTTACAGTGAAATTCAGCATTAAAAAAAACGATTTGTGGCAATCATTACCAGCACCCTAATTACTGAAACTTCGAAAAATCAGTTTAAATGTACAGGTTTAAGGCAAATCAATATTTTTTCGATTCCATTGGGGGTTTGCAAGTTTAGCTGTAAAAAGAGCAAACACACCACTTTCTTCTTCTCATAACAGACTTTTCCATGTTTCTTTAGTTGTCTTTCTAAAATTTAAGCAGGGGACAGAATTTTGCAATTTTAACAGATATGAGGCATTCAGGACGTGTGCTTCAACAATTCCGTACAATTGCTCGAAAAAAAATTTTTTTGTGTCAGCCCAGTTCTTACGTAAGGATAACCAGTAACGAGTTCAATAATTTCCAAGCAGCACTCGGCAAGAGCTGGCAGCAGGGAAATTTACAAACGAAGTCCCTTTTGATCTCGAAAACTTTTTGTGGAGTCCCCTCCAACCCTAGATCCTAAGCGTGAAAAACCCTCAAACGAAAACCTACCAAAAAAGGAAACGTCGCAATTTTTGTGTCTTTTGGGCCACAAAAACATTGTCCCCTCTGCTTTTTGTTCCAAAAACGGTATCCGAGTTGACCCGGTGTCAGCTGTAAGCCCTGTTTTCAATGTTTCGATTTACATGACAAACATAAGTACGCCACCTTATCAAAACGAAGAATTTACCATTCTCAGACACCAAATTACCGCATTGGTTGGAGCCTGTTTCGTATCCACGCTTCAACAACTTTTCTTCCAGGTTGAACCATTGTTAATGAAAGATTGGTGTGCAATTATGGATTGGTCACCAAATGTGGACCACAAAGGCGACTATTTGCAGTTATGGAACAATCATCATTTGGATAAGGTTGGTACTCAACTTGCCAAGAAGCAAGAAATCGCATCGAAGAGAAAAATCCAACTTTTGAAACGAGCTCTGCTGCTATAACTGACATTAGCACTCCGTTCCAGGCTGTTGCTCAATCTCAATTATTCATTAACGAATGTCGTCGAGCCCTGGGACTTTCGATGAAATTCTGGGTTGCTGAAATTCATGAGATCGTCAAGAACACAATAATGCATTTTTCTGAACTCCGAGTAAAATGTGTTGACCTCAACGATGCACTAAAACAGGTAGGTTTCTTCTTCTTTTTTTGGAAAGAGAGAAAGAAGTTGTTCCTTCTTCAAATTTTAGCTGGACCTCACTGCTACACCTCACAAAATCAAATCCACACCTTCAAAGCGACGATCGTTCATTGACCTCTTGGAGCTCAGGGATAAACTGATGCGAGGATCCACTGAACACAGCAAAAAGAACGGATCTCATGTGTCAGTTGCAAGGTGTGCCTGCTTCGCTTCTAACTCTTTCCTATCCTACTTTTGCAAATTGGAGATTCGGAATATTAGGGAAGCTTTGCCGTTTGGCGCATGATGTGTATCATCTATTCTGTGACTAAGAGACGCGTGACCGCATTGCGGACATTGTCTTAACATGTTTGAGTTTGTTCTTCCCTGCTTCCAAAGAGTGAATAAACGTGGGCGAGATAAATGACAAGTATAAACCTGCTAAATACACGATTAGGCTTGTTTAGACAATGTGTGCAATGCGGTCTCGCATCTCCTAGTCCTAGAATGAATGATAGATGTAGTTTCTCTTCCCTGCATGTTATCGCACATCCCTTTTTCATTCATGGAAGTTATGTAGCAGTCTAAGCTGCAGAGGAATGGAAGAGTAAGTTTGTGCGAGAGGGATAGAATTTTTGTCGCTATATGGGTAAGGAAAAGAACTGAGCTTAGCCATAAAATTCAATATATTGATCAGGAGCCGCTTGTTACGGTAGTTACGGTAGCTCGATGCAATCATGAGATAAATTGTAAAATCTGGAAAACCTAGAGAAATTTCTGTTCTCCAATGACGTACCATGAAATGCTGTTGTTTGAAGCATCTGTGCATTACAGTTTCGCTCCTTTATCACTCTGCAAAGTTCGCCATGTTTCAAAGCAGAATTTGTTTTCGAAAAAAAAAACATGGAGTACGGAATCCAAAGCGAAGACCAAAACATATGGAAACAAAGCAAAAGTGACTAAATGGCTAAAACAAAGAGGGCAACATGATTAGGCCACAATGCCCAGAGAAGATCAGTATATCGATTAGGGGCTGCTGACGGGTTAGGTAGCTTAGTGCAATAATGAACGGAAAATCATAGAAACCAAACAAGTTTTTGTTCTTTAACCTCAAAACCTGAATTTTCACATTATATTCGCTCATACCATGTTTTGCCACGCTGTCAGTAATCCTTCTGCGCTACTCTGCTAACTTGTCTACACACCTCTAAATCTGCCTAATGCGTAAAACCATGCTCAAACATGTTTTGAATATAACTATCCACGCAGTTTAATTCGATTTTCTCTTGTGGAATATACGTAGCAGCTTAGAAAGGCTTCCATGGATTTTCTCAGTCGGTGTCCTTAGAGACCAATTCGAGGTAAACTCGGTGGTCTAACCTACTCTTGGCTGAGTTGTGTTGGCCAAACAAATTTTGGAAAGCTCCTCCATGTGGAGGAGCAAAATGTTGCGCAAGTGACTGAGGGGTGTGGCTGGGGCGGAGTTAAGACAAGGTTAGCAGAACGTGCAGGTATCTCGAGCATTTTCGTTCATTTGTTAGCTTTCATTTGTTGTAACTACATGGAAGCTTCCATTTTCGGCCGTACATTCTTTGATATCATATCTGATGCAAAACTTTACAATCATCACATAGTTAGGTGGAGATGAAAACTCATATGCTATGATCGCACACCAAGCAGAAGCTATTAGGTTTTAACAGTATTGATGCAGGTTTCTCGAATTAGTTTGGATCAATATAAGTTTTACACAAATAGTTTTTTTGTGTGCAATAGTAATGAAATCGTTGTAGTCAGCAAAAGTTTATCAACTCAGCTTGCACAATGCGTTTTGTAGCTTCACCGAGAAAAACCTTTTAGCCCGAACACTGCCAGGAATTTTCTTAGAAAATCTTGGCTTTGATGAACCACAACTTACTTCTAAATGTAGTAAGATAGACAGATATTACTCATTGTGTAGCTTATAGTCAGTTGTGCAGCGGCGGTACATCGAAAATTTTGAGAAGAATTTTTTGCAAGAAGATATCTTTAAAATGTGAAAGTACTCATTGTATTCGATTTTCTGTTGAGGTGAAAAATTCCTTTTTAAGACTTTTGAATTTTTGAAGCTGAGAGGGATGAACGGGGTTTTTGATGGAGATGCCCTAACTCTACTTTTATATGCTGCCGAAGCTCCACAGTCGCTTCGCGCTGAGGTTTTTCATATAAGGCGACCCACAACCGTTGAATTTTATTCTGATATTTCTCGCCTCAGAAACTTTTAGAAGTCATAAATCGATATGCATTTTTTAGCATAACTCAATCAAGAACAACGCGTAAGTTCGCAGAAATTTCTTCGATTTTTTGTGGTGGTTTTAGAGCCAAGAATGTCAGAAAGGAAGAATTTCTTGGTCCCTTACGTTTTACAGGCACCGAATTTATGAAAGAATTCACTTCCATCGAGACTAAAGACATAAAAATTAGAAGAAAAGGAATCCTTTTTTGTGCTAAACCACATTCGAGAAGAGATGTGCGAAAAAACTGCGTTAATTCTGTTATAAGTTAATATTTGTCCGGACTCATGAAGCAGCGTACGAAGGGATAGAAACATATACGATCTGTTTGAGGATGTATCGAAGCTCCAGTACTCGAAATGCCTGTGAAAATTGAGGAAGATTTCCGCAAGTTTTCGCAGCTGTTCAGCTTCTTTTGCGTATCCTTTATTCGTAATGCTGTCTATCTCATAAGGTATAAACTTATTCCCATTTTCTCGCTCAAGTGCAAGTGATCATATTGCACCGCGAGAATCTGTAACTACAGCGGAGGCATTAGCAAGCTAGTCTCTTGGCTGCTATATTTATCTTCGAGCATAGTGCAATCTGAAAAGCAAGGTGCGAATAATTGCTCTCAAGGGAACGGGATTTACACCAGCAAAGCATGTTTATATGATGAAAAAGCAACATTCGAGAAAGGAACGGGGAGGAGACACCAATAAAGTCGAACTAGTCATCTTAAGAGGTTTATTTCTAGTAATAATGGCAAAAGAAGACGCAAAAAGGCACGGTGTGTCTTCCCGTCCAGGGCTCGGCAGGAGGTGGCATTTCAGAATTTTGAAAACGATATCCCCTTTGAAGCCAAAATTTCTTACGACTTCCCCTTTGACCCTATTTTTGACCCCCATAAGTCCCTGACAAACAGATATACACGAATAATAAGATGGGCGGCCTCAGCGCTTATTATAGTAGTACTACCTGGCTTTCCTGGTCCAGCCCGGGTCATTGTTTGAGGGGATGGCCAAAAACCCCACTTTGTCCGTCTGCCTTCCCGTCCTTTTGGGCCATATTCTCCACCCCTTTTCTGCAGTATCAATACTGCACTGCAGCCCTACCCCTCACCCTTCTGCACGAGCTTACCCCAGAAAGGCTTACTGGAGTGACTGCACCTTCTAATTTTAAAGTGGAAATGAACTTCACTGCATTGTTCACACCAAAATGTGCAAGCAGTTTGTTAGCGGCTGGTAAGTGTTCACTTTCCTTGCAAGGTGCCAAAAATCATTAAATCGATAGAAGATTTCTACGAATTGTTTCGAAGGGTAGCTTAAAACTATCTACCGAGGCCGAAAACATATGTTTTCAAGGTTTCAGCTCGATGGGTTCATCCGCAAAGGAATCTATAAAAAAACATAGGGTAAAGATTTGCACAAACTTTGACGTTTATATATCTAAGATACTACTCATTTATTAGTCAGCTGCGAAACCTTACAATACAATAACCACCCCTCACCCTTCTGCAAGATTGCGATTGGAGCGCGCTTTTCGAGGCCGATCATAACGCTGTGAACCCTATTTGGGGCTGTATCGAAGCGGTGCCTTGGTGGTTTTGGAAGCGGATTTGAACATATAGTAATACTCTCGACCTCGTCCACATTTATGTAAAGAAATCCGGGAAATTATGTGAAGGGAAGCAGGGAGCCACCCCAGGTGGCTCCCAGGTGGCGCGGGAGCCACCTAATTTCAAAAAACACTTGCCATTTTTTAAATTCACGTAAGTTTCTCGTAATTCTTCACACTTTTTTTGTGCTCATGGTCCTCCAACTATACAGAAAACGAGCCTATTGGGTTATTTTCCTCTTACAAGAATTGCGATTTAAATTCCCGCCTGCGGGCAGGCTAGCGATCGGAGCACAGAATCTTCACATTGCTGGAATCTAAATTCATAGGACAGTAGCAGCAACAAGGAATGATGAATAAAGAATGATATGTGCATTGTTTATCGGTAAACAAAGGGAAGTCGTATTTTGGGGTCCGGGGCTCCGCCGCGGGCCCCAAAATACGACTTCCCTTTTGCTTTTTTCGGGCCAAAAACGATATCCAGCTTGTGAAAGTGCCACCCCCCCCCCCCCGGGCTCTGTTCCCGTCAACTGGCATGCTCATGGTAGTACAATATCGGACCTACTAGGACCAAAGAAAGCTGAAAATTTGCTTGGCTGATTTCAGCATCTGCAGTAATGAAAGTCACTAACCCATTCCACATGGTGGCGCTCACAAGGGAAGTATGTTCAGATGAACTGGCCTTTTTATGTACACCATATTGAAGGGCATAAAATGCTGATTCCAAATTTGTCATCCTTATCTGCAGAGCATTTATGGCCGAGGTGTCATGAGCGCTTGTTTGAGCAAAAAATTGATTGTGCAAGTTTCACACAAAAATAGAAGTACGTTTTCTAATTCTTCAAAGGAGCGGTGATAATCATCAGAGCATTGCTCAAAAAATACCCTAAAATAAATAAAGTATCACACTTGGTTGCATCATTTGAAAGCTAGTAACATTTTAGCCATTTTATCCAAAACGCACATTCAATTTCGCCCAAATCGCTCGTAACTCCTTGCCCATAAACGTTCTGCAGATAAGGAAGGCAGATTTGGAATCAGCATTCCATGCCCTTCAATATGGTATACATCCCATTTGGAAAGGCCACTTCGACTAAACAAGCTTCGTTTGTCGGGGGAAAGTATTGTTCATAAGCAAAGCTTTGTGTTGCGGAAGGGGTCATAGAAAACGGAGGCTCATAAATCAAAAATGAGCTTTTCGGGGGGTCAATTTCTTATTTGAAGGTCACATGGCCTAATCTTACGTCATTTCTTTTTGACAAAGAAGTACAGTCACATGCTATATCTTTTGTGCTAATGTTGTCCACACTTTTAGTTTTATAGTAAAGCCTACGTACAGGGGAACTTCCTTCAATCCTTTGATCTTTATACGAAGTGTTAAAATAATTCTTTGTTACGATAATGTTGAACTTTTTTGCCAGCGCCCGGAATTTGTTTCAGTGCGAACTCAATTGGAAACAATTTTTTTGAGTCAAGATGATGGTAGAGAAAGTATTTGGACTCGGAAGTTCCTGTTAAAGATTTTTCGCCATTTAGTAATGATTGTCGTCTGACTGTGGAGAATATTCGTTGTTACGCAGATTCATGCAGCACGATCAAGCTTTCCTCGTTTTGCAAATAAAACCCTTTGGGACCAGTAAATGCAAAAATCAATTTATATGCAGAATGACCAGCTTTGCACTCACGCTTCGCTGACCTTTTTTAGCCTGCAATTTTCGGGCAACTTAGCACGAATATGATACAGAAAATGATGGGGGTCCAAAAAATTGCAAGGCAGCTTGTATATAAACAACTCTAGCGCAGAATCTTATCTAAGCACAATTGAAATTCAGATTTTGGCAAGACAAATCCAGTTTCTAAGCTTTTTGGAGTTAGCCAAAAATCGGGCGGAATACAGTTTTGCTAAAGTAAACAAAGAAATTGGTCAAGTACAAACATTCCTCTTCGTCTTCCGGAGTCTACTTACGCTATTTCAGTAGATTAACTAGGGAATTTGATACCTCCTTGTTTTTTCAATTCAGCTGACATTGTTTATTGAGCCGTATGAATGATTAACAACTTTCGTCAGCTTGGCAAATAGAAGCCAGGCCTTGTCTGAATTGCAATATTTTGTGCACGGCTACTTGCGAGAGAGGCTAGAATTCTTTAGAGAAGGGGAGCATAGGAATTAAGAGGGTTAGAACAGCACATGCATGTTGTTTAACTTAAGAGATACATAATCAAGCTAGCCATATATTACCAAGAGCAATCATGAAGTGTTGTTTGATTTCAAGAAGGGCTTTACTACAAATGCTAACAATTATTTATATGTATATATGCCTGGAAAAAATGAGGAGAATGGAGAGAGGGAAGTCGGGTTAAGGGAGATTTTGGGACTCCACCTGCACCAGCCACAACTATGTGGCAAATTTCTTATTCATCCACCTCTGTTTCTGCACATTTCACCGCGTCTGCCACTGAGACACTTTTTCGCACCTTTTGTAGGGATCCAGTTTTGGTTAGATTTCATTGTTTATATGTGGTTTACTTTGCTCTCCACTTTTTTGATGTGGTAGATGATAGTTTTCCTTTTTTTGCCATCAAGCCGCTCGGCTATAGACGTTAATGGAGAAGAGACGTAGCCTTAGTGAAAACTTAGTAGCAATTAACACTTACTCTCACTTTGCTGTGTTAGCTCAGTTTGCAGGTCAAAAAGCGAAAAATTTAGCTGAAACTTCTGGTTGATTTAACTGCAGGAAAACGTTAACTTAGAAAAGAATTGTTGCATTCTGCGTAGCACAAGAATGCTTTACGGATACGAAGTGTCTTCTGAATTTGAATCTCTAAATACTCTCAATTTTAAATTGCAGTGAGGACGCCCAAGCCCAAGCTATGGTTGCTTCATTCTGTGGACGAAGCTTCGACGATGGTGAAACGGACGAAATTGCTCAGCGAATCAGGCGAGCAACAGCCAATATTAACGTGGAGATTGAGACGCTCATGGAATTCCTCACACACAAAGGAGCCATCTCATAAATGACTAGCATTCTACTTTATTCTTCTCTCGTATGACTCCTCTACGCCGTACCTGCCTCAATCACCTCGTTGGAAAATGATTCAAAGTCATATATTCCTTCATCATCCATTATTTATAGTACTCAAACTCGCTAGTCACGGTTGTATTATACCGATACCGTAATCCTGTTGTAATTTTGAAATCTCTAGACAAAGATCTCGTCTTGCAGTGTCGACTCACTGCGACACTGTCAGCTTATGCTAATTTGCAGTTTTGACTAATTTATAAGCTGCCTCTTTCTCTACTGGGGAATGATCATTACACCTTATACATCATGTTATGTGTAGGCTCAACGATAAATTGTTATGATATAATATGATCTTCACAACTGTAGAGGGCGCTTAAATAACGGTTTTACAAAGCAAGTGCATAGTCAGTCGATGTGCTAAGGTAACCTAGAATAATCAGTCGGTTCCAGAGCGCTATAGAGAAGCTCCGAAATGTTTGCTTTGAGTAGTATTCTTGGATGCAGTAAACGGTCTACGCTGTAAGCTGTATTTGGTATTTTTACGGGAATTAGATTAGTGTGCCAAAGAGAAATTCCTTTTTTTGTCATACTTGCACATGAGCCTAAGACACCATTGAACGTTCCGATAAGTTGATCATGATGCGGTGGACAATACCATCAGTACTCTTCAGTGATTTTTTTGGGGATGGGGGGGGGACAAAATTTTCTGATGAAAGTGCTTGGCATTAGCCATGCACTTCGAAGAAATTTTTAGTATGCTTCACAACATTTTTGCGGGCCCGTGACCCCGAACGCCTCTAAAAACAACTTTTTGTAGGGCTAAATTGAATTTTTAAGTGATTTTATTATCTCAATCATTTAAAAGTATGAACGAGTCACTCGCACATTTTTATAGCCCATGTAAGTAACTTTTAAAAATTTCGTGGCCTATTCTCGGGAAGGAAGGAGCAGTCCCTCCCCCTCCCTCGGTACGCCACTTATACTCTTGAGTACTGATGCTGTTGTCCACCGCACATGTTAGAATGTGGTGGCAACAGCAGTTCTAGCCGCACTGGTGCAGTAGCAATGGCGATGCTCAACACCAACCCCACTTTCGACAACAAACTTGGCAAAGCCATCAGCAGCACAATCTTCACTGATGCAACTGCAGGAAGAAATCACCTACAACAACACACAGCTTGATGCGGTAGACAACCACGACCACTTTGAGTTGCAATGTAGTAGCGACAGTAGTGGCAGCCGCGCTGGTACAGTAGCATTGGTGGTACGGAACACCACCCCCACTTCACCAAAGCGTTGTAGTGCCATCAGCAACACCATCATCACTAAGGCAACTGCGGAATAAAATCACTTCACAACTGCACCAGCTTGATGCAGTAGAAACCACAACCACTTTGAGTTGTAATGTAGTAGCAACTGTAGTGGCAACCAGCTGGTACAGTAGCATTGATGATACGCAACACCATCCCCACCTCAGCAAAGCATTGCCGGCCATTAGCAGCACCATCGTCACGAACGCAATTGCATGAATGAATTACACTACAACTGCCCCAGCTCGACGCAGTAGAAACTACAGCCACAACCGCAGCACTTTGAGTTACAATGTAATAGCAACAGTAGTGCCAGTCGCGCTGGTACAGTAGCATTGGTGGTACGCAACACCATCCCCACTTCAGCAAAGCGTTGCAGTGCCATCAACAACACCATCATCACTAAGGCAACTGCGGAATTGAATCACTCCACAACTACACCAGCTTGATGCAGCAGAAACCACAACCACTTTGAATTGCAATGTAGTAGCGACAGTAGTGGCAGCCGCGCTGGTACCGTAGCATTGGTGATACGCAACACCATCCCCACTTCACCAAAGCGTTGCAGTGCCATCAGCAACACCATCATCACTAAGGCAACTGCGGAATTGAATCACTCCACAACTACACCAGCTTGATGCAGTAGAAACCACAACCACAGCCAGAGCAGTTTGAGTTGCAGCGCAGTAGCGACAGTAGTGCCAGTCGCGCTGGTACAGTAGCATTGGTGGTACGCAACACCATCCCCACTTCAGCAAAGCGTTGCAGTGCCATCAGCAACACCATCATCACTAAGGAAACTGCGGAATTGAATCACTCCACAACTACACCAGCTTGATGCAGCAGAAACCACAACCACTTTGAATTGCAATGTAGTAGCGACAGTAGTGGCAGCCGCGCTGGTACCGTAGCATTGGTGATACGCAACACCATCCCCACTTCACCAAAGCGTTGCAGTGCCATCAGCAACACCATCATCACTAAGGCAACTGCGGAATTGAATCACTCCACAACTACACCAGCTTGATGCAGTAGAAACCACAACCACAGCCAGAGCAGTTTGAGTTGCAGCGCAGTAGCGACAGTAGTGCCAGTCGCGCTGGTACAGTAGCATTGGTGGTACGCAACACCATCCCCACTTCAGCAAAGCGTTGCAGTGCCATCAGCAACACCATCATCACTAAGGAAACTGCGGAATTGAATCACTCCACAACTACACCAGCTTGATGCAGCAGAAACCACAACCACTTTGAATTGCAATGTAGTAGCGACAGTAGTGGCAGCCGCGCTGGTACCGTAGCATTGGTGATACGCAACACCATCCCCACTTCACCAAAGCGTTGCAGTGCCATCAGCAACACCATCATCACTAAGGCAACTGCGGAATTGAATCACTCCACAACTACACCAGCTTGATGCAGTAGAAACCACAACCACAGCCAGAGCAGTTTGAGTTGCAGCGCAGTAGCGACAGTAGTGCCAGTCGCGCTGGTACAGTAGCATTGGTGGTACGCAACACCATCCCCACTTCAGCAAAGCGTTGCCGTGCCATCAGCAACACCATCATCACTAAGGCAACTGCGGAATTGAATCACTCCACAACTACACCAGCTTGATGCAGTAGAAACCACAACCACAGCCAGAGCAGTTTGAGTTACAATGTAGTAGCAACAGTAGTAGCAGCAGGCGCTGATGCAGTGGCATTGGTGATGCGCAACCCCATCCCACTTCCGACAACAAAGTTGCGATGCCATTAGCAGCACCATCATCACGAATGCGATTGCATGAATGAATCACACTACAACTGCCCCAGCTCGACGCAGTAGAAACTACAGCCACAACCGCAGCAGTTTGAGTTACAATGTAGTAGCAACAGTAGTGCCAGTCGCGCTGGTACAGTAGCATTGGTGGTACGGAACACCACCCCCACTTCAGCAAAGCGTTGTAGGGCCATCAGCAACACCATCATCACTAAGGCAACTGCGGAATTGAATCACTCCACAACTACACCAGCTTGATGCAGAAGAAACCACAGCCACAACCATAGCACTTTGAGTTGTAATGTAGTAGCAACAGTAGTGCCAGTCGCGCTGGTACAGTAGCATTGGTGGTACGCAACACCATCCCCACTTCAGCAAAGCGTTGCAGTGCCATCAGCAACACCATCATCACTAAGGCAACTGCGGAATTGAATCACTCCACAACTACACCAGCTTGATGCAGTAGAAACCACAACCACAGCCAGAGCAGTTTGAGTTGCAGCGCAGTAGCGACAGTAGTGCCAGTCGCGCTGGTACAGTAGCATTGGTGGTACGCAACACCATCCCCACTTCAGCAAAGCGTTGCAGTGCCATCAGCAACACCATCATCACTAAGGCAACTGCGGAATTGAATCACTCCACAACTACACCAGCTCGATGCAGTAGAAACTACAGCCACAACCGCAGCACTTTGAGTTACAATGTAGTAGCGACAGTAGTGGCAGCCGCGCTGGTACCGTAGCATTGGTGATACGCAACACCATCCCACTTCCGACAACAAAGTTGCGATGCCATTAGCAGCACCATCATCACGAATGCGATTGCATGAATGAATCACACTACAACTGCCCCAGCTCGACGCAGCGCTGGTACCGTAGCATTGGTGGTACGCAACACCATCCCCACTTCAGCAAAGCGTTGTAGGGCCATCAGCAACACCATCATCACTAAGGCAACTGCGGAATTGAATCACTCCACAACTACACCAGCTTGATGCAGTAGAAACCACAACCACAGCCAGAGCAGTTTGAGTTACAATGTAGTAGCAACAGTAGTAGCAGCAGGCGCTGATGCAGTGGCATTGGTGATGCGCAACCCCATCCCACTTCCGACAACAAAGTTGCGATGCCATTAGCAGCACCATCATCACGAATGCGATTGCATGAATGAATCACACTACAACTGCCCCAGCTCGACGCAGTAGAAACTACAGCCACAACCGCAGCAGTTTGAGTTACAATGTAGTAGCAACAGTAGTGCCAGTCGCGCTGGTACAGTAGCATTGGTGGTACGGAACACCACCCCCACTTCAGCAAAGCGTTGTAGGGCCATCAGCAACACCATCATCACTAAGGCAACTGCGGAATTGAATCACTCCACAACTACACCAGCTTGATGCAGTAGAAACCACAACCACAGCCAGAGCAGTTTGAGTTACAATGTAGTAGCAACAGTAGTAGCAGCAGGCGCTGATGCAGTGGCATTGGTGATGCGCAACCCCATCCCACTTCCGACAACAAAGTTGCGATGCCATTAGCAGCACCATCATCACGAATGCGATTGCATGAATGAATCACACTACAACTGCCCCAGCTCGACGCAGTAGAAACTACAGCCACAACCGCAGCAGTTTGAGTTACAATGTAGTAGCAACAGTAGTGCCAGTCGCGCTGGTACAGTAGCATTGGTGGTACGGAACACCACCCCCACTTCAGCAAAGCGTTGTAGGGCCATCAGCAACACCATCATCACTAAGGCAACTGCGGAATTGAATCACTCCACAACTACACCAGCTTGATGCAGTAGAAACCACAACCACAGCCAGAGCAGTTTGAGTTACAATGTAGTAGCAACAGTAGTAGCAGCAGGCGCTGATGCAGTGGCATTGGTGATGCGCAACCCCATCCCACTTCCGACAACAAAGTTGCGATGCCATTAGCAGCACCATCATCACGAATGCGATTGCATGAATGAATCACACTACAACTGCCCCAGCTCGACGCAGCGCTGGTACCGTAGCATTGGTGGTACGCAACACCATCCCCACTTCAGCAAAGCGTTGTAGGGCCATCAGCAACACCATCATCACTAAGGCAACTGCGGAATTGAATCACTCCACAACTGCCCCAGCTCGACGCAGTAGAAACTACAGCCACAACCGCAGCAGTTTGAGTTACAATGTAGTAGCAACAGTAGTGCCAGTCGCGCTGGTACAGTAGCATTGGTGGTACGGAACACCACCCCCACTTCAGCAAAGCGTTGTAGGGCCATCAGCAACACCATCATCACTAAGGCAACTGCGGAATTGAATCACTCCACAACTACACCAGCTTGATGCAGTAGAAACCACAACCACAGCCAGAGCAGTTTGAGTTACAATGTAGTAGCAACAGTAGTAGCAGCAGGCGCTGATGCAGTGGCATTGGTGATGCGCAACCCCATCCCACTTCCGACAACAAAGTTGCGATGCCATTAGCAGCACCATCATCACGAATGCGATTGCATGAATGAATCACACTACAACTGCCCCAGCTCGACGCAGCGCTGGTACCGTAGCATTGGTGGTACGCAACACCATCCCCACTTCAGCAAAGCGTTGTAGGGCCATCAGCAACACCATCATCACTAAGGCAACTGCGGAATTGAATCACTCCACAACTACACCAGCTTGATGCAGTAGAAACCACAACCACAGCGAGAGCAGTTTGAGTTGCAGCGCAGTAGCGACAGTAGTGCCAGTCGCGCTGGTACAGTAGCATTGGTGGTACGCAACACCATCCCCACTTCAGCAAAGCGTTGCAGTGCCATCAGCAACACCATCATCACTAAGGCAACTGCGGAATTGAATCACTCCACAACTACACCAGCTTGATGCAGTAGAAACCACAACCACAGCCAGAGCAGTTTGAGTTACAATGTAGTAGCAACAGTAGTAGCAGCAGGCGCTGATGCAGTGGCATTGGTGATGCGCAACCCCATCCCACTTCCGACAACAAAGTTGCGATGCCATTAGCAGCACCATCATCACGAATGCGATTGCATGAATGAATCACACTACAACTGCCCCAGCTCGACGCAGTAGAAACTACAGCCACAACCGCAGCAGTTTGAGTTACAATGTAGTAGCAACAGTAGTGCCAGTCGCGCTGGTACAGTAGCATTGGTGGTACGGAACACCACCCCCACTTCAGCAAAGCGTTGTAGGGCCATCAGCAACACCATCATCACTAAGGCAACTGCGGAATTGAATCACTCCACAACTACACCAGCTTGATGCAGTAGAAACCACAACCACAGCCAGAGCAGTTTGAGTTACAATGTAGTAGCAACAGTAGTAGCAGCAGGCGCTGATGCAGTGGCATTGGTGATGCGCAACCCCATCCCACTTCCGACAACAAAGTTGCGATGCCATTAGCAGCACCATCATCACGAATGCGATTGCATGAATGAATCACACTACAACTGCCCCAGCTCGACGCAGCGCTGGTACCGTAGCATTGGTGGTACGCAACACCATCCCCACTTCAGCAAAGCGTTGTAGGGCCATCAGCAACACCATCATCACTAAGGCAACTGCGGAATTGAATCACTCCACAACTACACCAGCTTGATGCAGTAGAAACCACAACCACAGCCAGAGCAGTTTGAGTTGCAGCGCAGTAGCGACAGTAGTGCCAGTCGCGCTGGTACAGTAGCATTGGTGGTACGCAACACCTTCCCCACTTCAGCAAAGCGTTGCAGTGCCATCAGCAACACCATCATCACTAAGGCAACTGCGGAATTGAATCACTCCACAACTACACCAGCTTGATGCGGTAGATAACCACAGCCACAACCATAGCACTTTGAGTTGTAATGTAGTAGCAACAGTAGTGCCAGTCGCGCTGGTACAGTAGCATTGGTGGTACGCAACACCATCCCCACTTCAGCAAAGCGTTGCAGTGCCATCAGCAACACCATCATCACTAAGGCAACTGCGGAATTGAATCACTCCACAACTACACCAGCTTGATGCAGTAGAAACCACAACCACAGCCAGAGCAGTTTGAGTTGCAGCGCAGTAGCGACAGTAGTGCCAGTCGCGCTGGTACAGTAGCATTGGTGGTACGCAACACCATCCCCACTTCAGCAAAGCGTTGCAGTGCCATCAGCAACACCATCATCACTAAGGCAACTGCGGAATTGAATCACTCCACAACTACACCAGCTTGATGCAGTAGAAACTACAGCCACAACCGCAGCACTTTGAGTTACAATGTAGTAGCGACAGTAGTGGCAGCCGCGCTGGTACCGTAGCATTGGTGATACGCAACACCATCCCCACTTCACCAAAGCGTTGCAGTGCCATCAGCAACACCATCATCACTAAGGCAACTGCGGAATTGAATCACTCCACAACTACACCAGCTTGATGCAGTAGAAACCACAACCACAGCCAGAGCAGTTTGAGTTACAATGTAGTAGCAACAGTAGTAGCAGCAGGCGCTGATGCAGTGGCATTGGTGATGCGCAACCCCATCCCACTTCCGACAACAAAGTTGCGATGCCATTAGCAGCACCATCATCACGAATGCGATTGCATGAATGAATCACACTACAACTGCCCCAGCTCGACGCAGCGCTGGTACCGTAGCATTGGTGGTACGCAACACCATCCCCACTTCAGCAAAGCGTTGTAGGGCCATCAGCAACACCATCATCACTAAGGCAACTGCGGAATTGAATCACTCTACAACTACACCAGCTTGATGCAGTAGAAACCACAACCACTTTAAATTGCAATGTAGTAGCGACAGTAGTGGCAGCCGCGCTGGTACCGTAGCATTGGTGATACGCAACACCATCCCCACTTCACCAAAGCGTTGCAGTGCCATCAGCAACACCATCATCACTAAGGCAACTGCGGAATTGAATCACTCCACAACTACACCAGCTTGATGCGGTAGATAACCACAGCCACAACCATAGCACTTTGAGTTGTAATGTAGTAGCAACAGTAGTGCCAGTCGCGCTGGTACAGTAGCATTGGTGGTACGCAACACCATCCCCACTTCAGCAAAGCGTTGCAGTGCCATCAGCAACACCATCATCACTAAGGCAACTGCGGAATTGAATCACTCCACAACTACACCAGCTTGATGCAGTAGAAACCACAACCACAGCCAGAGCAGTTTGAGTTGCAGCGCAGTAGCGACAGTAGTGCCAGTCGCGCTGGTACAGTAGCATTGGTGGTACGCAACACCATCCCCACTTCAGCAAAGCGTTGCATTGCCATCAGCAACACCATCATCACTAAGGCAACTGCGGAATTGAATCACTCCACAACTACACCAGCTTGATGCAGTAGAAACTACAGCCACAACCGCAGCACTTTGACTTACAATGTAGTAGCGACAGTAGTGGCAGCCGCGCTGGTACCGTAGCATTGGTGATACGCAACACCATCCCCACTTCACTAAAGCGTTGCAGTGCCATCAGCAACACCATCATCACTAAGGCAACTGCGGAATTGAATCACTCCACAACTGCACTAGCTTGATGCAGTAGAAACCACAACCACAGCCAGAGCAGTTTGAGTTGCAGCGCAGTAGCGACAGTAGTAGCAGCAGACGCTGATGCAGTGGCATTGTTGATGCGCAACCCCATCCCACTTCCGACAACAAAGTTGCGATGCCATTAGCAGCACCATCATCACGAATGCGATTGCATGAATGAATCACACTACAACTGCCCCAGCTCGACGCAGCAGAAACCACAGCCACAACCATAGCACTTTGAGTTGTAATGTAGTAGCAACAGTAGTGCCAGTCGCGCTGGTACAGTAGCATTGGTGGTACGCAACACCATCCCCAGTTCAGCAAAGCGTTGCAGTGCCATCAGCAACACCATCATCACTAAGGCAACTGCGGAATTGAATCACTCCACAACTACACCAGCTTGATGCAGTAGAAACTACAGCCACAACCGCAGCACTTTGAGTTACAATGTAGTAGCGACAGTAGTGGCAGCCGCGCTGGTACCGTAGCATTGGTGATACGCAACACCATCCCCACTTCACCAAAGCGTTGCAGTGCCATCAGCAACACCATCATCACTAAGGCAACTGCGGAATTGAATCACTCCACAACTACACCAGCTTGATGCAGTAGAAACCACAACCACAGCCAGAGCAGTTTGAGTTGCAGCGCAGTAGCGACAGTAGTAGCAGCAGACGCTGATGCAGTGGCATTGGTGATGCGCAACCCCATCCCACTTCCGACAACAAAGTTGCGATGCCATTAGCAGCACCATCATCACGAATGCGTTTGCATGAATGAATCACACTACAACTGCCCCAGCTCGACGCAGTAGAAACTACAGCCACAACCGCAGCACTTTGAGTTACAATGTAGTAGCGACAGTAGTGGCAGCCGCGCTGGTACCGTAGCATTGGTGATACGCAACACCATCCCCACTTCACCAAAGCGTTGCAGTGCCATCAGCAACACCATCATCACTAAGGCAACTGCGGAATTGAATCACTCCACAACTGCACTAGCTTGATGCAGTAGAAACTACAGCCACAACCGCAGCACTTTGAGTTACAATGTAGTAGCAACAGTAGTGCCAGTCGCGCTGGTACAGTAGCATTGGTGGTACGGAACACCACCCCCACTTCAGCAAAGCGTTGTAGGGCCATCAGCAACACCATCATCACTAAGGCAACTGCGGAATTGAATCACTCCACAACTACACCAGCTTGATGCAGTAGAAACCACAACCACAGCCAGAGCAGTTTGAGTTGCAGCGCAGTAGCGACAGTAGTGCCAGTCGCGCTGGTACAGTAGCATTGGTGATGCGCCTTGGTGGTGCACCATGCCACTTCCGATAACAGCGTTGCGATACCATCAGCAACAAAATGGCAGTAAGTCACTCTACCAAGGAAAGATCCTGATTATGAAATACCTTAAACAAAATGACTCCCGATTATTCATGATGAATAAGGTTTATGAAAAGAAAGAAAAGGGGTGGGAAGATTTGAGGAGCCAGTCACAGCGCCCATACAACACAATTCTTAGCATGGATTTATTTATGCCCACAGACACTATTCGGAATGATGCGAAATGAATACCTATACGTAAGTTAATGAATTTTATCACCAATGCACAACGCATTTTGATGCTACTTCAACAAGGAACTGATCTTTCAAAGACGAAGAGAGAAGAAAGTGATCACGGGATCATTTACACCTGTCAAAGCGGCAGCACAGGTATAGATACGTAAGGCGAATATACAAGTGCCGGAGTGCATGCATGTGGAGGTGAAGGTATACTATGATATGTACAGATATAGAGTATAATTTCTACACGTCTTGGATCGTGGAAAGGTGCAGAAGGGCGTCATTTATCGAGGGCCGTAAAACAGTTTTTGGTACAGAGTTCCGCAAAATTTCATCGTTCTCGATAACGTTCAACACGGTGTCTGGAAAATAATGTTTGATGGGTGCTTTGACAGAAAATTGAGGTAATACCGTTTAATCCAGAATAAAGAAGTGTGACATCATTTTTCTTTGCGTCATTGTAGAGCTAAAAATCTTGATGTCATGGTTTGCATACGTGAGAAGAATTTACCTCTTTGAGGGCATCCAGTCCCATGCTATCCACATATGACATTGCAGAGCAGTCAACGATAATCGCTCTACCGCTCAACAGTGCCTGAAACCCGTATTGTATCTACAGCTCTCTTGCAGAAGTGGATTTGCAGTAGTGACTACAGTATCAATAGAAAAGATATTGCTATTAGTTTCACACGTTAATGATAGTCTAAGAAAAGCCTATAGACTACGAATAAGCTTCAGAAATGATTCTAAGTGTTTTTAATGCTCGGAGCTTTTTTGAAAACTGCACAGAGCGATGGGAAAACAAACAGGGATATACAGTTGGAACAGCCGCGTACTTCCGCGATATTCTTTCGTCAATTAGGTAAAAATAGCGAAAGAAGCTATACTCTGTAGGTTTGACTGTTAGATTCTGCGATTAGGTTCTGCGTTGTCAACAATATTTGCGCTTAAGAGCTGTCGTAAGGAGCAAAACTTTAAGATGTGCTCGGCTATCTTTACGCGCAAATGTTGTCAGCAATGCAAGGGCAGTATATTTGAGCCTGATTTTTATAACACTTTACATCTTCAGTACAAAAGCAAATTTCATAAAGGACACTTTTGCGGAAGTTTAAAGTTCTTCTCCGACATCGACATCGCTACTGTGTTAACGCCTCAGACGTATTGTACATCCAGCTTAATTCATGGTTTAGAAATCGAATATAATATTGGCCAGCTCCAGAGAATAAACTTGCATAGTAGTGCGATTTGCATACTTCATCTTCCAACATTCTAACAAGGATTGGCGTTTGATGTCAGAAATGAATGCGTACCGTTTGCTATAGTATGAAAAAAGAAATAAAGATGCTAGTATAGACTGATCATCGCGAGCAGAGACTAAACGTCTTTGCGTCTGACTAGAAGAGTTCGCGCATGGAAGAACAACAGCAAGAATAGTGTACTGAACAGAGAGACGCAGACAACGTCCGCGACAGCGTCTTGTCTCTGGGTGAGATGAATCGATATACAGAATTCGAGACCAGAACATACTCTTTGCGTGGTATTTCGAAATATTATTCAAATTCGCACTCAAAAGGCAAAAATGTTCAATAAGCTAGTAGGGGTCAATTGATATGGGATGGATGAAGAGATTTGTCCATTAAATTTAAATTTATCAACCAATTTTTTTAGTTATCTTGTCAATCTCCACAAGCTAGAAAAACTGCAAGGCACTGCTCAGGAGATAAGCACCACCACCCAACTGTTATGATGAAGACAGTTTAGCAGTGCTAAGGGCGATAGAAGGGGTGCAAAGCATGCATCGTTAGGAGCCTACGGGTATCACTTACGGGGATGGAAACATTCGTTGTGCTCGAGTTTTGGGTAGTGGGTGCTAAACTTATGGAAACTTGTCCATTTTCAGAAGTTGCTCTGTTTTTCTGAAAAGTACCGGTGCTGCATACAAAATCGTGGCATGGAATATTTTTCCACATGCAGCGCTGTGCGAAGTATCACATTATATACGACACAATTATATCTTTTAATGTGGAATACAATTATTAGTTACCTCCTCTTTGACAGAAGCTATCAGCTCCGATATTTTGTCAGTGAACAATGTGACATTGGCGAAATGAAGAGGAGATTCAAATTTGAGTAGAGAAACGCCGTCAGGGACATGCTGTGGAGGGACTTCTTCCATTTTACTCGTGGAAAACTGCGGCCTGAGAAAGATCAAATCTCAGCTGTTATTTTTTTCGACACCAATTATACCATTGCTCTCTGAGTACTACCGATAGGAGCGCAAAGGCAATTGATATTATCAGTCCTTTTGTTACATCGGTAAAAATGGTCGACAAGCAAGCAACCAACCATATCGCCTGCAAACTTCATAAATCTCCAAGAATTGACCCATTAATTCTTGTCTCGAAAACTTACAAAATCATATTTGCTGATTCTCCAGTAGCGAGGCAATTCCCTAACTTGAAGGAAGAGGCTTTTAAGACTGACGATGACAATACAAGCAAGAATGCACTAGATTATTTGGTTTATGTACTTCAAAATATTTGCATTACAAAACTCACCATAGGAAGAGGCTCCAAAAATGGACCAAGGACTAGAATCACAGTCAAAAGCAATGTCGATGAAAATACAGTGTAAAGCTGTAATCAAGGACTTGAATACTTTAGAAGAACAGAAGGTCCCGATGTAGGTCGTGGATTCCAGATAAGTAAGTGCGAAGAGGCAAGGTATCTTTTACGCTAACCTGTGTATTCGCTCCTGACATTTCGCAAACAGAAGACCTGGACAAGGAAGCACCAACGGGATAAACAGGGAAGAATGACGATGCAACCGACATTATTCCTACAGCGTAAAATTCCTGAAGAAACAATGTTTTCTAAACTTTCAGTAGCTTTGCCTGCGTTCTGGCATTGCCTGAAAATTTTGAGATTTGAAACAAAAAACATTCCGATCAGTGATATTGCAGGGCTCAAAAGGATTACTTTGGTAACGCGTAAACTTACCTGAGTAGCATCTGTCTTATACTTATGTTTTTTGGCAAAAAGTTTTCCCATAGACATTACGAACATATAACAAACGACGGCAATAGCGATAGCATCAGAGATCAGATGTGGAAGAAGTGACGCGTTGGGAAGCGAAGGCATAGGAAATCTGGAAATTGCAGGAAAATTAGTACGCTAATTGATCAACAGGAAAAGGAAATGCTACCCTCTGGGAATGGTATGTACAGTGGAGATATGGTAATTTTCATGTAAATTTAATGCTATAGAAACAATTACGCCGATGATAACCTGGAATGGAAGGTATTAAATTCTCAGATTGCTGAAATTTTCACTCACAAGGATAAGCTCGAGCGGTGGAGGTATAGGTGAGAATCGTTTCACGAGAGGATTAATGTAAGTTCTGCCGAGGTCCAGGAATAAAATGCCAATGAAGGATATGATTACGGCAGTGATGTTAGCAGATGGTATGGACAAAATCAGATCCCGCACCATCTAAACAAAATGGTAAATTTTCTGGGCATTTTTCTATTTGTTATAGACACTCCGTTTATTTTCAGTATATTTACCATCACAAGCATTCCAGCACCCTCATGTCGGGGCAGTTTCACACCCAAAACTTTATTTAGCTGGGAAACCATGACATGTGCTGCTGATCCGGTAGTGAATCCAGACACCAGTGAATCCGAGAGGTAGGTAGTGAGAAAACCAAGACGTAGAATACCGAAGAGTATCTGGAACACTAAATCGGTATTTCATACCTTTTTTGCACAAAATCACAAACACAGAAAAGTCGAAAATAATGTGTAACTTATGGGCCCAAGAGAAAACGGCTTAGCAAATGTGAAACTACGTCTATTTAACTTTACCTGAATCACGCCCACTAGCAGCGTCAAGGCACTTGTCAGTTCCATAGGTCCTACACCATCGAATGGCGATGTAGAATTAGCTATGAGATCGTCAGAATCCGGAAGAAAACGTATCCGACATGCTCCTACCATCAACGATGCTACAGCGAATACACCTAAGAAGTATTCCTCTTTCTTCAAAAAGGTTCACTTTTTACTGAGTCGCCATACCTATAGACACATGTCTAGCAGTCCCGAAGAACATATAAACAGTAGATGCAAAGAACGACGAATACATTCCATAGACGGGCGGGACCCCTGCCAGGCTAGCATAAGCCATACCTTGTGGTACATGCATTATACCAACCGTCAACCCGGCGATGAGATCTCCATGAAAGTACTCTCTCCATTTGTAGCTAAAAATAGAGATTTGGAGTTCAATGGCAAAAAAAGATGCTGGTCTACGATCTTGTAAAGAATGATGATGCGTGATTTATAGGTCAGAGATTTTTATTCATATTTTCCCCTCAAAGCAAGGTGCGAATGTCTTCCTTAGCGATTTTTGAATTTGCAATAAACTTTCGCGTGTTGTAGACATCTCCTTGTTGCATGTGAGACGGTCACAGTGGAACTCTATGTACATTTTCTGCTCATGAACACTAAAGTAGAACTTATCACCATGTTTTACAACATGAGGTAATTTTTAAAGGAGAAAAAATTTCAGTATTATTCGCAGTGATAGCTCCTTATCCAAACCTAGCGATAATTTCCAAGCATTAGTAGATAACTATTCTTGAGCAGTTTTCCCCAAACAAGAAATAATTGTTCACCTTGCTATGATTCACGAGTGTGCCACAGATTAAATGAAAACACCTTTGTTGTCCCTGTCTTTCGAAGCGATTACTTAGGTGACGAATATCGATATGATTAATTTTTGTATGGTCTTTCAATGCTCACTGAGGCTATTTAGTACACAATAGAGCGTTGAGGTACATACACCAGCAACAAGTAGACAAGTTGTAAACATATTTGATTTTCACAGCTCATAGTAAAGTTCATGAGGAGACCATGATCAAAAATGCGTCATACTGCTTTTCGGCAGATTATGGAGCTTTTACTTCGGAGATAATTTTCGCCAATTTATGATGAATATAAAGATGAATTGCTGCAAGTTCTATCAGGTGCTCTGTAATTTTTTGCTGAGCATCAAGGTCTTTTTTTTTTGTTTCCTAGCAGGCATCTCACCCCTCACCTTAAAGGAGACATGCGATATTTACTCACAATCACTTCACCACACACAAAAAATTTTGGCCTTTCGCCTTTTTTGAATGGCCAACATTTTGAGTGCGCGCATGAGAACGCGCAAATCAAATCGAAGGCCATTTCTTTTGTTGCTAACTCGTGCAACAAACCATCACATCAAATTACATTGAAAACCACTATAAAATTTGCTTCAAGAGCGATCCTGTTTCAAAATAGCTAGAAGCAAGAAAGCAAGCTTATTAATAGATTCAGAACTTCTATGGAGATTTTTTATTTTTAAGATAGGGTATCGCACAGATGAAGCCAGATTTTGTTTGAGATAGCATCTGAAACCAGATAGCAAACTCAGATAAGTCATGGCAAGATATGTCACAAAGCAGAACCGTTCCCGTCGGGTATATTGTATACACATACAGCAGATTGTTATGCAACCTTTTGGGATTATTGGAAGAGAAGGACTTTGGCCATATGTGAATTTAAAAAAGGAATAATGCGGAGAAATTGTGCATTCAGAAACTTAATAATTCCGCCTTCTCACTGCACTCATTGAATTTGTCATTCACTCACGACAAATTCTCTTTGCATTTCTTCAATCCCTTATGCTCTGATAATCAATCCTTTGACCGCCATTATTCATTCAAAGTTTAAAATTTCACTAGCGTCGCTTTATCTTAACCTTTGAGGCAACCTCCGAACCAATATCTTCCATTTTCCCTTCAAAGTACTTACTCTTCCGGCCGTTTCCACTTAAACAACTGATAAGTTTGCAACTTCGCATATGTGTCGCTTCTATTAAAATTTAAATCCCATGATTATGCAAAAACCCGCAACAACGATACTGCCGCTAATAGAAGAACTCACTTTGGCAACCAATGTAAAATTGGCATGAAGGATGTGAGAATCTGTAGAAAACCCTTGCTGTTGCGTTTTTGTTTCTTCGTCTTCTTTGCTTTGTCATTGGTACCATCATCGGAGTTTCCATGGTACACCTAAAGCGATATTTTCAAATAACTATAACTACTGAATGTCTACTAAGGAGATTAACAACTACTCAATATGGACTATAACCTGGGCATAAAACAAGTCATTAAAATTGCTGATTCGTGTATGAGATGATTAACGAGATATGGGCAATAATCCAATTACTAGAGCCAGGCACTTCTATTCTCCTCTTCGCGCCATAACGGCAGGATGATAAAATTATGAAAAAACGGAAATTTTCAAGGTTATGAAAAATCATAACATCGAAGATTTTTCGGAAGCATCAAATATTTTTTTAACTGTAGAATTATAATGGTGTATTTCCAAAACCTGCGGATGCATTAACATCTTAGCATTAGTCGACTTGTTGAACATCACTTCATTCATTTTCATTTTACGATCTTTAGCGCATAAAACGTCAGCATGTACAAGAGTTAGAGAAAATGTTAATAAAACAGCGAGTTTGAACGATGCTCATGAATTTCAAACAGCAGCAAATGACCATATGAATAGAGAGTGATGCATAGATACAAGGGATCAAACTACTCCTCACCTTTTTAGACTTACTTCCCTCACTAATGGTAACTTCTTTGCTCCTCATTTAGAATGACGGTTTTTTAAGTTGTCAAGAATGTGGAGAGACAGAAAAAAAATATGTAAAATTTGTACGAACGGTTATAAACTATCTAATGACTAGAATTTGTATCAAATGTACGGTGATATGTGATCAACACCATCAGTAAAATTAAGAAAGACTATGCAAATATTCCTTGAAAACGTTATTCATCCCAACTTTCTTCAGTCGAAAACGAGCTGTTTTTGATCACTCCACCTTGAAGATTCCTTGTTTATCTCTTACGACGACTTTCTTCCAAACATATCATGACTAATCCAACCTAATTAAACAAACATCGTTCTTCAACTCTCGATAAAGTCAACATTTGCACCCAAAGCTGTTTTTTTTTCTTTGCAGTGCTCAGAAGCCCAATGTTGAGCTTGCACAGTCACCGATAAACAGCAGTCACAGTGGATCACCGGGTAAGCAGAAGCTGCTAAATGGTGGTTTGAGATGAAATTTACCTAATTATAGACTTCCATATATAAGGTACAATTAGAGGTAGCTGTAATGAAGTTAAAGTGGTTAGATCTTCGATATCAAACAAGGAAATATCGATAAAGAATGTTTTTGAAGATGTGAGCTGATAATGGGAAAATTATTTCAAACATGTAAAATGTAAACATGTAAAATTCATGTAAAATTTGGCGAAGATTATTGTACTATATCAAAATCTCTATCAATCGTATAAACTTTTTTCTATTAGACAAAAGCTTCGCCACAATGCGACTGATTAATAAATTTCGACGACGTGACAAAAACTATTGTCTGATATTGATGAACATTAACATTACTGATATGGATGGGAAGCTTGTAGTGATGTACGTTGAGGGGGAAGGAAAGATGAGAAAAAGGAGAGATGGACAAGAAGAGGGTTTAATAAATAAAATTCGCTCATTGCTTGCGCGAGCTCCGGAGACTTTTGAAGATTTACTTTCCTGGAAAGAAGTGAAAAAATGTGTACCGCAGAAAACTTCGTTTAAACAAAAATCTAACTGATTACTTTTCCATAATGGAACCTTGGTTTGCAATGAAAAGCAGGGTCACAGATGTCAAAGACTCATTGTTCAAGAGATTGCTAAAATTACTCTTCCATTCACTCAAAACAAACCAAAAACCTCAGTAGCATTTCAAACATCTGCAGCATAAACTAATTTCGTCCCTGATTTGCTGGATTCTTTACCTCTACATACATTTGAATCTATGGTACGACGCCAAAAAAGCATTTATTCGACCAGCAGTTCTCTCTTACGCAAATAGTAATTCCAGTAACTACGCCATAAAAAAGCCATTTGTTAACTTTGGCTCAGGACACTGATCTTTCGTCTTCGTAATCGGCATGACCATCAAAGAAATTGCGCAGAATTGCAGTTTGGACAAAGCGGCATGGAGGGAATTGCATTTCGATGGAGCTGGATCGCAAAGTAGATCTTTGGTAATGGAGCTGCCAAATAAATCGAGCTGAACCTTCAGAAATTTGAGAAAATTCAAGTTCACTACATTTTTATTTTTGAAACGTGTCAATTTCTTTATGATAACTCAAAATGCTGAAAAGTATGCGCCATGCAGAACGAATTTGTCAATAAATGCAGCTGTATAAACGCGAACATTTGCAAAAGTGTGAAGATGAAAACATAAAGTGCATTATGTACATACATATGGCACATAACCTTCGGTTTCTGCCCAAAGAGGACATAGAAAACTACAAAAATGGGTGTTAATATCCCAATGGATTTTTTTATAAATCGTATTCGTTTTTCATTCAATCAGTCTTGCAGCCATTTGATCGATATTCGAAAAGACAGAATTTCACTGTCGTACAGCTGGAAGAAAAATTGAAGCACTATTTTATTCTTAATCCAGTGAGCTTTTTTTTCAAAGATTAGACCGAAAAGATAGGAGAATATATTGTTTGTTGAACTTCATCGTGGAAATCCAGGAAGCAAGCAAACTAGCAAAAATAAGTAGCAGCAAAAAAACTGCTTTTTACGCAGCTGCTCCATCTTCTTTTCAAGAAAAAAAAGTCGCAAAGTCAAGTTGCAGAAGATGAGATTGCTAAGTGTACTCCCAGCATAAATCCACCGTGGATAATTAGAGAAATTATGCACAGAAATTTCTTCTGCCTCACAACAAATAGGCCACGATTTTTGAAAGGGCAGATAAAGTGCGTGCGCAAGTTGATTTTTTGGAATTTTGCAACAGGGCAGGAGATGGTAAACAGGTCCTCTGCGCATGGTCGTAGATTCATACAGAGATTTCTGCAATTTTTTAGTGTAGTTTCGGATGTGCTAACAAAATGTATGTGGAGTGAAGTGAAGGAGTCAAGAAAATTCAACGCTCAATACTAACACATTTTATCTACACATCTCTAAAGCCATGCAGAAGAGTAGAGGTTAGTTGTCTATCACATCTAAGGTAACTATTTTTTTCTATTTAAACTATAATGATAAAAGCAATAAAATTGTTACGAGATTTTTTGCCATGGAATTTTGGTTAAAATCTCTATATTTTTTCATTTTGTACAATAATTATGAGTTCCACATCAAGCAAAAAGTGGATGTTGCCACAAGTGTAATGACAGTATTTCCATGAAGAACAATTATTCGGCTATGGTACTTTACAATGCAAAAGCTTCGAGTTGTGCATAATTTCGTTTGGATGGAAACTATAACGAACGCAAGTCCAGAATCTCGGATTGCAGAACACAGAAATAAGAGAGCTAAACAGTATACTAAGAATACGAAGAAGCTATTGTATAATAAAGGCAAAATTTTATATCTATGGAGCAGGTGATTGGCAAGAGCTCCAAGAAATGAGAGAAGACTTCAAGGTGAAACAATGGAAACTTTCGAAGAAGTGAAAACAGGGTCGGAAACTCGTACCGTTTCTCGCTCAGCGGTCGCCCATAATAATATTAGCATAAAAGCATTGTTCGGAAGCAAGGTAAGATAGAGGAGTGTTCAACCATGTGGAAGAACATATCTCAAGATGTGTTACTTTCCCGGTAAATATTTGAAAAAATTCTATGCATCAACTCTTCCGGCTGTAATTGCTTTGGCATCACTCATTACGAGTAATAATTGGATGAAAATTAAAAAGTGCACTTCCTTACCATCCTTAAAATTTGGTCGAGTAGTGCAGACACACAATGCACGCACAGCAGACAGAAATCAATTTAAATGTTCATGTTCGATGGTAAACCTACTGCTTTCATCGCCAAATGGGCGTGTATGGTCGGTCACTCCGCCCCTCTTCCCGGTCCGTGCGTCTGTTAGTCACAGTTGAGTAGACGAGAACGATCGTAGTATTTTTGACGAATTCCACTATGATGAGCATAGGTGGTTACATCATGGACGTGTCGAAACCTAAGTAATGACATGAGAAGTGAAAAAAAGAAAAAAGTGTGGAAATGGACGGAGATGAGGAAGAAGAAGAAGAGATGTATAGCTGAGAACTTCTGCTTTGCTCGTACGGTGCTGGGCAGTGCAACTAATTAGGCGCGAGCTTGCAGCTAATTTTGAGAGAAGCTCGGGTTGGACATTTGCCAAACTCACTCACGGCGCGCAGTGTAAATTCTCGTCAGCTCTATAAACAGCCCTCGCTTAGCAATTAACAGAACGCTCTATGGCTGTCTAGTACCTTATACCTGAGAAAAGATGAGGAGCAGGAATATGGAAAAAATGTTGGAGACAACAGAATCCAGAGATCACTTTTTATTTGCACCATCTGACGAATAAAAGCATGGACACCATCAATCATAAGGTCATTCGTCAAGAAAGTCTGCATTATCTTCCTTGACCGGAACAAGATCATAAACTCGTGCAGAAACCATTTGCCATAAAAATCCTATTATTTCAACGCGGAAGGGCAAAGAGTATACATAAGATACAGATCAAGTGTGCCAAAATACTTATCTGATTCTCCATCAAGCAAAGAGACGAGAAAACCTGCCAAAAAAACAGTTGCAAAGAATTTTTCATGGGCGTCATTTGAGCGTAGAAGAACGGAAAGAAGCAATGGGAACAAGTGAAACTGACACATGGATGTTAAACATTTTTTCATCATTCAGAAAGAGTTTTGCAAAGGGGGACTATGAGCGCAAGATATAAAAATATAAACATAATCTCTATTTTTTATGCTCAATGAACAAGCACTTTCTGGAGCAATGGACTTCTATACATTAGATATAAATTTACAGCGGAAACAAATAAAAAATACCGGATAAATCCAAACCACTGATGCAACACATGGATTCAAAAAAAGTATTCATATCCTGATTTTTAAGACAAGAGTTTTGCCGCTCTAGAGATATAAATTATTCATTGCTTGAAATGAAGACGTATATCAAACTATGAATTATGAACAAGAAAGACGCTTTATCAAAAAAGCTCAGTAAATTCTCTGCACCAAAACTTGCACAAGCTTATTTTCGCTATAAACACACGAGACTGCATTCTGATGCATATCAAATTCAATAAAGAGAAAGGATATTCCGTAAAAGTGCAGGAAATGAGGAGGGCCGTTTTTTGTGTGCAACAAGATATGCAGCAAAAGGAGAACGGAATTTGCAAAAAGTGAAACAAAAACCAGCGCAGTGAAGTTTCCAGCTGTAAAGCAAAGATCCTCGTAGAGCTTCACAAATGGCAAAAATAGCTATTGATTTCGGGGGATGGCGACGTACGACCACCACTCGCATTCACTCCATGCGCATAAAGGCATCCACGCACGGACGCATGTGCTGGATTCCGAATGAAAAACGGGTGGCCACATGGACTGTTAGGTGGTGATCTTTGCGTGGATCTACGTGGGAAATGTTTTCAGCGATGCTTGCGAAGAATTAAGCATCGGAAAGAAAAAATGTGGAAAAATTCAGCACAAATTCAAAACTGAACTTGTGACTACAATTTTCTTTTTTTTTTCCAATTGCTTTGGATTCTTTCGTTCCCTGAGTAATCATTGACAGAGTTCCATCTCACTATTATCCAATGGCAGTCGCACGATTTCCGTCCGGGGAGGAGGGCATAAATTTTTTTTAATGAAGGTGCGTAGCGTGAGCCATGCACTCCGAAAAGGTTTTTGAAGTGCTTCCCGAAATTTTGCAGGCTCATAACCCCTAAAATTCAGAAAAAGGGGGCGCGGCTGCCGCCATGCCCCCGAAAAAAAATTTTTACAGGGCTAATTTGAATTTTTAAAAATGTTTAAAATTCATTTTTGATTATTTACAGGAATAAATCACCTGCACATTTTTATCTGAAAGTTATTCACATAGATTCGAAATTTCTGTAAGTAAGCTGGACGTTATGGAATTTTTCACTTTACTCAAAATTAAATCCTCGCCCCCCCCCCTCCGCCTCTCTTCCACGCAAACAAATACACTTGAGCCGCTGCTGCTTCCAAATCAGGAAGTCTCCTGAAATTTTTACTTGCAACTGCAGAACTTGGACAATGACAGTAGAGCTCAATACTCATCTTTTGACTTGTTTCAATTAACTCACAAGTGGGTAATGCGAGATATAATCTTTTAACAAGCAACTAATGTTTACTACTCACGTGCAATTACGTCAGTCAATTGCCTAACAGACAAAGAAAAAGCTTCAGTAACAGCAAAGGCATTCATAATCAGTGCATGTAGGATATTGAGCCACATGGTGACAACAAAGTTACATTCTTGAAGTCAGTGTCCAGGCTAAATCTGACCCCTTCCGACTTGCCGATCCTGAATGTAGGCCCAGCATAGGGGCATCTGCGTTGGTCCGGTCCTCTCATGTTGTCTCTGGATGGGGTTAAGGGACCTGAAATAGCAAAAGCGCCATCAAGCCACGCCCAGACCCTGTCAAGCTCCGCCCAGCCAGGACCGCCTTCCGACACGTATCATGGTAGTGAGCACGCCTGCAGTGCAACTGCACCCATGCAGTTGCAGCCTCCTCCTGGCATGCCGACGGGAACAAGCAATCCGAAGCTCGTCCCCGACCTCAACAGACGGGGGCTCCCCAGGAATCGGGTTTTTTGGGGTTTTGGACAATTTGAACTTCATAACTTTAAGGCCACGGAAAGACCTCGGAATGGCAAAAACATGGGAGACTAATTCACCTTTGAAACAAAGTTAACCATGTTGGAATTTGACCATTTCACTTAGGTAGCCTAGTATTTTGAACCTTCAGAAATCGCTCACACTTTGTATACAGGGGTTATTTAACATGCTAATTATGGATAGGATACGAATATCATGTTATCACTTTTATCAGATTACCCAACTACAGTCTGCCCCAATCGGGACCAGGCCGAACCATCGGCTGAATATGCGCGCTCGCAGCACTAGGGGTTTGCGCTGCATACGCACGCTGTCGCAGAGAGCGAAGAGATTGAGGAGAGAGCAGACTAGCTAGACGCAGAAGTGGCGCGAAACCCTCGCGACGCGCACTCCCGCCAAGCCAATTTTGGCCTGGTTAGGATTGGGGCAGACTGTACGACCCCCTCCCCTTTTGACTCCTCAATACGACCCCCCAGTTGTGGCGTGCCGCATCCCACGCTTGACCCTGAACATAAGTTTTGTCACGCTTGATCGAAAAAGTTCTCGTAACTCTTCCAAAAAAATTTTTTTCTCATCTTCAGATCACCTGGGGGGGGGGGGGGAGCGGGTAGAGTTTGTTGGCATACGCATGTTACACATAAAAAATGAATCTTGATTCTTTAGAAATTTTTCAAAATCATTGTTGGCAAATTTCCAACTCTCGTTACTGAACAGCTAAAATTCCCAAACTACCTCCATATCAATAGCATTGATGCTACGGTATTCCATGATTCTAAGAACCTGGAAAAGAAGTACGAGAAAAAATCTAAAAGAAAAAAATGAAGTCTAAGGTGCCGTCACAAGCTGCCTTTTCAGTTGCAATAAGAAGGGTATACAGAGATGAAAGTTATGGAGAGCCCTCTTTCCCTTCCTCATATGAGACTTTGCCAAAGTATCTGGAGTTTATTTAGAGAAGGACAAAGAAAGTGCAAGGAAACTCATGTCACGATTTGGAGGTGGTGCAGGAGGAACCAAAGCCCTTGACCCCTGTATCCAAGAGGGAATGGGGAAGGCAGAGGAGGCTATGCCCATCGCTCCGCCCACGGGATGCTCCCATTGTGTGTTGAGCAAGAATGGTGGATAGACTACCAGATATTGGTCAAATTCGATGAATGAAGAGGTTGATCTATGAATTGGAACATGGGAAATGGACAGTAAAGATTCTAAAACAGGTTTTAAGGTGCCGGGATGATAATAGAAGTAGTATCATGTCATAAACCTAATAAATGTGTAGAGTAAGGTCATCTTTGTAAGATTCATATAGAACACCTTTACCATTTAACTGTTGGTTAATTTTGCTCAAAACCGATGTGATAATGATACAGCTTAGAAGGTGGATTACCAAAAAATTGATTTAAAGAAAGAGAACACAAGCCGAAATGAAGTTTTGAAGTGATTTTAAAAATAGCTCTAACAAAAAGAACAACTACATCTTGGATACTTAGATCCAAAAAGGACGTAAAATGCAAACGCAAACATCGTTATGCCTGAAAGGAGGCTCAGTAAAGCTTCACAGCTCAGATTTGAAGTGCGAACCAAATCTGGACAACCTTCACCCCGCTGGCAGTTGTCGAGCCATAAAATTAAAGAATTGGGACAATATGTATTATAAATAGGGGAAAACTAATGAAAACTACTGCAACTGTTATAACAGAAAGTGTTGGTGACTTTGCCTGCTTTTTGCAGCTTTTTGGCCAAGTCTGATTTTGCAACTCGAACATTTCTGGTTAATAGTTTGGCATCTACCTCTTTCGCAAGTTTCTTTGCGAAACACGACTCTTCAACGTTTTTCTAGCAAATTTTTCCCAATCTTTCCCTCCCACCTCCGAGTAAAACATTTGATGGAGTTAACAAAAAAAAGTTTTCACTTGAGTCATGACTCTCTTGGCTCATCAGACAACTGGCTTGATCCTGCAAAGGTCAACTACCGGCTATCGATTAGCGCAAGTGTAACTAACACAGTGAATATCGTAAAGGTTTGAGAAAATTATCTCAGGATAAAATCAATGTTAGTAAGTTTTCGCGAAGCCACTCAGGTATTGGAGTAAAAATTAGAATGTTCGCCAAAGACGAGTTCATGAAAAATTTGAAATCGAGCCGGGGCTCTAATAAAAATTGTTCATCAATTTCCAATCTTCAAAAGAATGCTGAATCGCATTGATGTGAATTCATACAAAAGTCCACTTTAAAGATTCGTCTTTCAAAACTGGTCACAAATTTGTTTTTCCCTTCCTTGTATCTCCACCCCAGGTCTTTTGAACTAGCCTTTTCCATTAAAGAATTCCTGAGCAAAAAAGGCAAGACCCAGACTCAGAGCATTGGGCGGAGCTTGGAAGGTTGCCAGTCCTTCTTGGCACGCAGCCAGCTCCTCCCCTTTCCTTCTTGGATACAGGGGTCAAGGGTTCTGGTTCCTCCTGCACCGCCGCCTCACGATTTGACGTTTCCCTTCCCGATTACTACGTGCTATTCATTTCTAGATGGCAAAGAAGTGGTTTCATACCAGTTGCGAGGCCGAATGTCCACGAAAAGAGGACCTCACAATTACCGGGAAATTCTTCTATTAAAGGTCGCGCCCGCAGCATCACATAATGTCCCGGGAGGGAACGAGTGACGCTGCAGCTATTGATTTCTCGGCGTTGCACGCCAGTATTGCTCCATCTTTATCCAGACTTTATTTATCCATGTGCTTGCCCTTTCGTTTTCTTCTCCTCGAAGTTTGCTACAGATAATTTGCATATTTTAAGGTGCAAAAATAGCTCAAGAACAATGGGATCTGCAGGAATTGCTATTGGACCTGATGGAAAGGTAAGTTCTCTCGCGGTCTACCTGTTCTAAGTTTGATAACTTACAATTGAGGCTTTTCATAGCTTCTAGTCAAAAATTCCAGTTTTTCTACTCAAAAAGGTTAATTGGTTTGTTGATGTGTTGAAACTTTACAGTAAATAAAGCGGGTAACTTAATACAACCCAAAAAACAAGACCATAGATCTCGCTTAAAATCCGCTTGAAGTGGTTCGATCTGCTACTCAGAAAACGATATTAATTTTGCTGGTAGGGCCTTTTCGAGGGATTACGTAGGCATGGGGTATGGGGTCGAAATCTCAGACCTTTTGAAACTTTGACGGAGGCGTAACTTGACATGCTGTCACGATTGTTTTACCTTTTCCTCAGAGGACTTCTCCCTATATAGATGCGCTGGTTATAACGATAGAAGTTGAAAATCTTAGATTTGATTGGATTCTGATCTATAAGATGTACTCACATGCTGATCGCGAATGTCATAGCGTTTTGGGACCATTTCGCGGAGTAGGGGTTGGTGTATCATGGGTTAAAGCCATACATCTACCACTTTGTGGAGCAGGGTTATATGACGTCTGATCACGAATATCGTGTTCATTTTTGCTTAAGTCTTTCATGTATTCAAGCGCAAATCGTTCTGAAAAGCGAAAAACGTTTATTTATACGCTGGAGACTACCATGACCCATAGACATTGAGCGAGCAAGCATGATATATGTAGTGTGCATGAAACCTTTTCTAAGCAAAGTGAGCAAATTTGGAACATGACCCATCTACCGTATGTCCACCGTAACGCGAGAAAATGACACTACCATGTGAAAACAGTATATGTACATGGTAAGCGTGAAATTGCCCTGGGTGAATGCTAGGAAAGTCTGTCAGCATGTCGAGTGACCCCTATGTGCAAGGTTTCAGCGAGATCTGGAATTTTGACCCCATACCGTATGCTTACCGTAGTAACCCTCCAAGAAGGCCCTACCATACAAAATGAACATCAGTCTCGTTGTCAGCGGGTTGACCACGAGACTGATGAATAACCACTCTAGGCGGATTTGCAGCGAAGTCCGTAGTTGGCTTTCTGGGTTGTACTAACAAGGGAACCGTGTCAAGTCGAAGTGGCCTTTCCAGATAAGACCCTTACTGCTTTGAAGAGTATCAGGCGGTGATTCCAAATCTGCCTTCCAAATCTGCCAAGCGCCTCTGGACGCCGAGTTATGATCGTTGTTCGGAACGGAAAATGAATGCAAAATTTAGGTAAAATTGATTGTTACAATCTTTCCAGCGCTCAGATAAAGCAATGTTGAGTATTAGCATATTAAATGAAATGTATCCATTGCATAAACAGCTCTGATACTTGACACTGGACCATTTGAGCAAATTTGGGCGATTTTGCTTCAGTTTTGCGTTCAATTTTTTGACCTGAAAAACGAGCGTAACTCGGGGTCCAGAAGCGCTTGGCAGATTTGGAAAGCAGATATGGAATCACCGATTAATGCTCTTCAAAGCAGTATGGGCCTCATCTGGAAAGGCCACTTCGACTCGACACGGTTCCCTTGTAAGTTAGTGCCAAAAACTGCTAGTTCTCCCAATGCGATTTTATTCGCAAGGACTCTTTTGCAGCCACTCAAACGTCAGGAGAAAAGAACGCAAGTCCCTCGCGGTGGGATTACAAAGCCGGGAATGAAAAGAGGGGGTATGCCTATGGTAAGTTTGTGGTCTCGAACCCCTCTTCTCTATCGAGCAATGCTTCTTAGAATATGGTTCAGCGACCGATGCGCGGAGGAATGGGCCCAGGGCCTATGATGGGAGGATTCGGTCCCGGTCCTTTTGGACCTGGAGGTTTTGGGCCAGGAATGGGAAGACCTATGCCTTTCGGTGCTGGCCCTGGACCTATGCGCGGCATGGGGCCATATGGTGCAGGCGGTGCTGGTCCTGATCAAAACGTAACTTTCTTCAAAGGACCTCAGCAAGCTGTTGCCGGAGGGGTACGTTTGATTCGTTGAGAAATGGAGAACCTTTCGTTTTGTCCTATTTACTTACTAGCATTTGATCTTGACACCTCATTTTATTCAACAGCTAAAATTCTTACGAGAGACTACAAAGTCTCACCATTGGCGAACTTTTGTTCACATTCGATGCCCTTAGTCTGTGAACAGTCAAATTTCTTCGAAATGTTGCAACCATTTCGGTGCTGTAGTAAGTGGCTGATTTAGATTTGTTGTTTTGACAACATGCTTTTGATGGAATTTTTTTTTATTAATCTGGTTTTGATTTTAGACTCTAATTTCCTGGAAGTGTCTTCCTCCTCCGTGAAGAGCGCCTTTTTGAGAGTTAATTGTTCAAGAGAGACGGATTCGAGAATGCGCTTGCGCATTCATAAGAATGGAATTATACTCAATCTCCAGTAGTCTTCGACTGCCTTGGCGTTTTGAACGAAATTTGCAAACTACTAAGACTTTTATGCAGTCGCAAAGAGTAGCATTATATGAAAAGAAGCGCTCTTCTTGCACGTTTGCAACTTACTTCTCTCCGTTTCGCATATATTAGATTAAATACCGTATAGATAGAAATATGCATGTTGTTCTGCACAACTGTTACTCTTGACTGATGCCGAAAGTGCTTTCACCGGCTAACCGGTCATCTAGCATTCTTTGTACCCTAACGAGCACAAATGCTCTGTGAAGAACAAAAGACGCTTGATGCGAGAAGAAGCTGTGACTCTCTTACTCTCGACTTTTCCAGATGGGCGACGCTAGGACAGGTCCAATGCAGTCAGGTCTAGTTCATTTCCCCCTAGATGTTCAAAAATGATTTTTTAGAGCCAACAGGGTCACAACCAACACTTACTTCTTTCGCAGCATTGTGAGGCGGTTATCGAATTGACTCGCAAGATGTGCGATGATTTAAAACAATTGGTCAAACTTTTGTGCTCTTCTCTTGCATTGCATACGCGCCTGGAAATTACCTGTTGGCTCAACTTTTGAATATAAAAAATAATATTTGTGAGAGTTTATCTTGAAAGCTTTTATCTCCTGCATGTGGTGCGGCTCAAACTTCAGGTATAATCCCTTTATAAGTTTAGGCGCAGCAATGACACCTTCAGCAACTACAGTGGGAAGAGGAGCTGTTGGCGGAGGAGGATTTGGAACGGCAAGTCTACAATGTCTTTTTGTGCTGAAGATTTGTTACGCAGATCTTGTTATAGAACTTGGAAGTGAAAATATAAGGCGTTGTTACTCATAGATGCAGTGGCTCCCCAATTTTTTGGTGCTAAAGAATCCAAATAAGTTGACATTTTCGGTCTAGTCTTTGAGGCTTCAAAGTTTGACTCCAGCTTCTCCAGCTTTTTTGCCTTGTCATCGCAGTTTGCCTGCTAGTTGCGCAAGCCACATTTTGAAAATGGACTTCGTTGTCTGTACCAGACGCTCATCTATTTGACGCTTCATCACTTTTTCGACGTAATCTGAGGTCGAAGAAATTTTATTACGGGTATACTTCATTGTAGGTCCGAAAATCGAAGGGGGTGAACAATCTTGTTTAACTACCCGTCTACAAATAAAGTAGTTTAGCTAATGGCCAATAAATGAGAATTGCCTGTACAATTCGAACGAAATTTTAGCGCCCAAAGGCAGCGTCCAGGCAAATCTGGACATATGGTGATCTCACATAGATATAGTTTTGGGGCCCTAAGGAAGGCGCCAGACTAAGCGACTATTTTGTTCAGCTGCAGAAGGTGCGCAGAATTTCAACTAGCCACGTCGTACCGAGCCCTGGCCTTACCTAGCTGAGTTGAGTTTGCGCGGTCAGCAGCTGAAACAGGCAATCGTGCGCAGATTTAACGTTATTTCTAAACGCCTTCTGCAGCTGATCAAAATAGCCACTTAGTGTGGCGCCTACCTAACTGCCACTGCCCAACCGGCAGCTCTAGTAGTGCTCTAGCGGCTAAGATATTTCCCTCGATCGCATGGATTCATGGCGCAACCCATCAGTTTCACGTGGGCCCTCGCACGAAACTGATGGGTTGCGCCATGAATCCATGCGAATACGATCATGGCGTCTAGTTTGGAGGCGTATATCTCAGCCGTCAATGAGTCACTGCGCTGCCGCTTGTGCGGTGCCTTAATTAGGCCTCCAAAATTACTTTCCACGTAAAATTTCTATAGGTTCAGATTTACCCGGACGCTGCCTTTAAAGGCAGTGGATCGGCAGAATGGGCCTTTCTCGAATTTTGGTGGATTTCGGTAGTAGACCCCCCAAGTACACTGTAGCCCAAATCCCACCCTCCAATTCATGCGCTGAGTCCTGACAATGCCCTTCAAACTTCCACCAATGACGCCCACTCAATGAAAGTGGGCGGGGCTGGTGGAGTTTTGAAGCCCATTTTTCAGAGCTTAGCCCATGAACTGGCAGGTGGAATTTGGGCTACAGTGTACTTGGGGGGTTCACTACCGAAATCCACCAAAATCCGAGAAGTGTCCATTCTGCCGATTTACTCCTTCAAGCAGATATGGAGCTTGGATTACGATTTAACCTTTCTGTGTTATGTTCAGTAATGTTCATCTTGAGACCTTTTTTTTAGTTTGCTATTACTCGATTTTCAGAATGGTAATGATGCATCCAATGCAGCACCCGCGACGGCCGTTAATGAAGTGCCGGGATTCGGAACTAACAGCAGCATTCATGAATTATTTGGTTGGTATACTTAGTAAAATAATTTTGACCGTCAAACTTTTTCTAGGTAAAATGGTCTGGAAGAAAATGGAAGGTCTACGTGATGAAGCAGTCATTGATCGTCTTCAGAATCGCATCATGAACATGATTCATGAGGCGCTCGCCGAGCAGTCTGGTGGTAAATGTTGGCACTCGTGTATCTATGTTTGAAATCATTTTTCTTACTAAAGTGCTGAGTTTTAGGAAATACTGCGAACAACAACAACCAGGCTCTTGCAGCCAATGGGCGTCAGTTTAATGTCAATGGCGGATTCAGATCGTTCTAAGCTTTGTTTTTCATTCGGCAATGGTCCATTAACTTTACATATTTGGGATTTGCCTCTTCGTTTTGTATTTTAACAAACCATAATAAGAACTTATTATTTGCCATCAGCAAGGCTCGTTTCAAGATGTTATTCACTGCTGTCTGATCTGAATGCGCATCGAGTGGCTGTATTTGACCTCGTCTTCCGCACCACATGGTGCTATAAGACCTTAGTTAATTATTTAGTACATTGCAAATGTTACAACTGTTTTTTTTTTGTATCTTGGAGTGTTTGTGGTTCATAAAGTGGTGTCGCATATAGAGCTTTGTTTCTCACCATTTGGTTACACCGTACTATTTTTTGATGTCATCTATCAGCAGTTTTGCATAAGAAGTCTAGTAGTTTGCAGCAAGCATGGCGCATGTCGAGTCGGGTGGCTCCACGCCTACTATAGATAATCAAGTGAATAATGTAGAAATATCGGTGCGTTGACTATCACTTGAATATTTAGAGGTGTAGGTTGGAGTTTAAGGGCGACAGCAACACGCAGAATGGTGGAGAGAAAACGGGTGAAAACGGAGAGGTGAATTTATGCGCCATTGTTTCATATTTTGGACTGCCATCACGTAAATGATGGAGGATTACAGTCAGTATTTATGAATGTAGGTTAAGAGGATCATAAGTCCGAAGAGAAGGCAAAGGCGTATACCATACTTATCCGCTTCGAAAGCGCAGATACAGTCGAGTAGATTTTCCGCTTAATATAGTGTGCTTGCACTGAAGGTGAAATGCGGTAAAATTTGCGCGTGAACAGCTAGCCACGCCAGTAATGCCAACATTTTGCGCGCGCAAATGGCCGGCGTCACAGGCGTAGCTATTTCTTTACGCGCAAATTTTACCGCATTTCACCTTCAGTGCAAGCACACTATATTAAGCGGAAAATCTACTCGACTATAGTTGTTTGCAATTCTAAGTAAATAGGTATGGCATGCGGCAGTAAGTTTTTTCTCAAAAAGCACGTTGTCGCAGTTTTCTCGAATTAACATTGTCAAGTTCACCATGTTTTGGAGTGGGGGGGGGGTCATAACGCAGCTTTTATTTAGTAAGCTTTCTAATTCATTATTTGCTAGCTTATTTCATGCTGGAAGCTAGACGAAATCGGTGTGGTTGTCACGTTTGAGGACATGCCATTCACATTGCGTGAGTGTTATCGACATCACTTGGCGCTAACTCTAATTTTCATGCTTTTCCACAATCAAAGCTTCTTGATTTCTTCGGTCGGTTTAGGCCGATTAGGAAAAAAAGGCTCTCATAAGAGCAAGTTTTCATGCGTCAAAGCTGCTATTACTGCTACTTTGTAGAATTCCGTACTGTGCCAAATTTGTGAAGCCAAAAATACCTCCATCTAGTGTTCTTCTATTTTTTATAGAGAGAAGGGAGTCATTTGGTGGAAGGTTGTGAGAGCCTGAGCACCGGTAGACAGTGTTTGTTAGTTCTAAAAACAGACGGGTAGAGGAATATCACGTTTGCTTCTTTTCATGTATGAACATTTTCAAGTGAAAACTTATGTACATGGGTTTAAATCTTATGTGCGTTTGAGCTGCCTTTGAAAAATGCGATTATGTTAGCTAATGATAAAGATGCTGCTACACTATTATTGGCAATCGCTATAAGCTTCGTAATTTTGAGTCATATCGATGAATTTTGTGGCTTCCTTTATCACGGCAGCTTATCGAAAACAAAAGTGACATAAAAATGAATTAGCGCTAACATTATTTCCATTTTCAGCATTCTAATCCTGGAACCTACTTTGCTGGTGGAACTCATATAAAGCGTCCCCCGCCGGCTAAAGTCTTTTTTGCTCCACAGAAGTATGGATTCTTCACTAACAACAAAGTTGAGCAGCGATGGGTTCGTTACTTTTCGAGTCACTTCAGTTTTTTTTTAAATGCGGTTTTAGTGAGAGTCGGCTAGTCCATTAGTTTTGTCGTATCAGTGTAATGGAACGTGGTTTCGGTACAATGATTTCAGGATTTCATCTTTTTTTCTTTTTCTTTTTTCATTGTTCTTATTTTATTGTTATGTTCTTTATAGAGAGATGATCCCGATAAAGACAAAAAAACACACGCTGATGATATTATCGCAAATGTTACAGGTTATTTGAAATATATACGTTGTTTTTCGTTATATTTTTTCACATTTGCACTTCTCATATATATCTCGTTCCTCTGGGAAGAAATTCACCCAGTGTCCAAATATCCTTTGCGAGTTCGCTCTTTATCTAATGTCTTGATGTATTTTTGGGATCTTCCTCTTTGTAAAGCAAATTTTGATGGGAACCATCTTTGTTTCTTCTATTCTCGAATTCTTTACGCCTTGTCATCAATGGAGCTTGACGAAACGAAGTTTACTTACAATGGAGAATCTCTCACATTTCAGAGAAGTTTTTCCCTCAGAAGAGAGCTGCACAAGAACATATGCCTCCTCCGATGCCACCGATAGGCCCAGCGTTTATGCCCCCTCCCCCGGGCGTGGTCAGTTATCTTCCTGTTTGGTAAAGAAGTGGTAATAACGTATTTGCAGTTGCCTCCTCCTGGCGTACCAGCTGTACCCCCGCCACCGTTCATGATGGCCCCTCCTATTCCTACCAAAGAGGCGAAAAGAATCAAGTTCAATGATGAGGAAAGTGATGAGAATGAACTTTTCGGTAAGTGCTATTGCTTTTGCTCCTATACTTACCAACTTTATCGTCTTCCAGCTAAGCTGCTTTACAAAAAGCTGCGGTCGATTACTAGCAGAAAGCGCTTGGAGATCTTGCATGTTTCAATAATGGAGATGGTCAGACAGGCCCAAGAAGAGGACGAACGTGAGAGAACTGTTACCGGTATGGATCCGAATGGGCCACAAATGGTTTAGAAGATTGTAATAAGATCGCTTTGAGTCTCATTCATTCCGAGGCTGTACAGCCGTATCTCTTTCGTCATAACTGAAAGATTTGGCTTATTAATTCAGTATTTATTGATGCAGACAATTGAGTTGTGCGTGTGTTGTGCTTATCCTATTTGAATTTGCTGTCTAATGAACTGACTGAAAGTAAGTGTAAGAATTCCACAAGCGTCTACAGTCGAAATTCTTTGGTGGGTTTTGCGATTAAACTCAAGTGGCGGATCAGTGCAGAAGAAAATAATATTAGATGAAAGTGCTACAAATATCTATGAAGCTATGTTTATATTTGCATCACTTAATTATTCTAAGAAGGGAGTGAGAAGATCAAGTGTTGAGCTCTTGCATCGTTATTGATCGACTTCCGTGTAATTACTGGAGAAATGCCACTTCATGAGCAGTATTTACGAGAACACAAACTCGGACACAGTGTTCCTATTTCAAATATACCCTTCGCTCACATGTAGCGGCATCAAGCTCGTTCAAGTATTCACTCAGTTGGGACGGAGCTGTAGCGGATGAAGCTTGGGTGAAGGTCTCGAAGAAAATGCTGTTGAGAAAACAGACAGGGAGGTGCAGCTACGACAGCACCCTCTTTCAGAATTCCGTGTACTTCCACGATATCTTTTGGTCAGTTAGGTCGTTTTCAACAATATTTGAAGGCAGCGTACACACAACATTTCGCTTTCGATATTTTGGGGCCTTTCCGTGCCCCTGATTACAGTTATGACATTGAAATCCCCCAAAAGTCCCAGAAAACCCCGATTTCCGGGAATCTTCTCCTGAGAAGGTGGACGAGTTTCGAACTGCTTTCAAAAGTAGGTTTCGTAGAAGATACTTCTTGCGTAGGTCTGGAGTTTTCTTTTTCACCGCTATTTGCTGACGCTTTAGTACTATGTGCATTCACATCCACGCTCGAACTTTGTTTACAGAAAGCGTACATAATATGTCAGCTCCAGAGGATATAAACTTGCAGTAGACAGTGGCTTTGCATAATTCATCTTTCGTCGATTGCGTATTCATTTAATGTCAAAAATGACAGAATGCTACGGTACGAAAAAAGAAATGAGGATGTGCCCTACAGTCTGCCCCAATTGGGATCAGGCCGAACCGACGGCTGAATTTGCGCGCTCGCAGCGCTAGGGGTTTGCGCTGCATACGCGTGCTGACAAAGAGAGTAAAAGGATGAAGAGAGAGCAGAGAAGTGGGATGTGGGCGTGACCGCGAAACCCTAGCGAAGCGGACTCCCGCCATGCCAATTTTAGCCTGGTTGGGATTGGGGCAGACTGTAATTTCACGCGTATAAGGCGCACTTTTTTTTTGAATTTTCAAGCGAGCCGCTCAGCCGCATCACTGGATCCCGGAAAGAAACCTTACATCGCTCGATTCTCTCAAGCGATATACAGCACGTTATAGGGTCTTTTGGTTGTAAAGTTTGGCTTGTCTGGGCTGGTCGATTTTGGAAAAAAAAAGTCGCCCGCGCCTTATACGCGTGAAATTAGGGTGATAATGTTGTTTCTGCAGAAGGCTTGCAACGATGTAGGAGAGAAAGCTTGAGACTCAAGAAGAACATATCACTACCCAAACTAAGTTTCTCTTTAATCGAGAATCCAGTTTGGGAATGTCGGAGATGAAATGTTTTGAGCGGTATCAAAACTGTGGTGTATATTCAAGAAGATATGCAAAAACGTTGTTGCATGATTTCCTTGATGATGAAGTAATGGATAGATTCATTTCGTCAATCTGAAGAAAGTAAGACAGGTATTCACTATAAATGTTCACTATGTGCATTACGGTATTCTTTGCACGGGTATAAGATGAGAAAAAATAATTGCCGAAAAAACAATCGCGCGCTAGTTTCACATATATTGTTGTATTCTACAAATCTCCGGAAGCAGAACGGTAAAAATCTGTTTTTGCATGTGCCTTAGTCATCGAAAGGGTTACAATTAGCCGAAAAAAACCATAAAAAGGCGACATACCCATATTTCCAGATTATTTGTTTCTTCACTCCTAACCTTTAAAAAATTGCAATAGCTACATTCGTATACTTTACTATGTGCCTACTATATCATGAACAAATGGGAGGCTTGCAAGATTTTCCTCAGTAGAGATCCGATTTTTGGGGCAAGTAAAATTTTTGATTTTGGCTTTCAACTTGAGCTAGATAGCGACTTGAAAAAATCTGGCAGCTTTGTAGACCTTGCGTTGCTCTGCGGAATAGTACTCTTCAACATTTGCAACCTTCACGGTGCGGCTTTCGCAAATAAAACTCATTATATTTACACCAATTTAAGAGAAGGTTTAGATGCTTATTCGTTTTCTCCATCCTACCATGAAGCAAACGAGAAAATCAAAGAACAATTGCGAAATTGTGTTCTTAAAGTAATTATGTTGACTGATGAGATCCGCCTGCAACAGTTGCAAGGATGGATACTGATGGTCGTCGGCGGTGAGAATCCAGGCACTCCGCGGCTTTGCAAAGTGTTTCTGGCCTCCTTTTGTTCTCCAGGATGTGGCCTATTTTCTTAACTTGTACGCTAGTGCTAGCGTTCCTGCCCCTTTGTCCGGCTGAGTGGGCTTCAAGTGTGAAGTGTGTTGTTCTGATTTGAGCGAAATGTTGAAACAATCAAAAATTTTACAGCTCGCCTTCCTTTGTAGTTGATTATGCTAAGGATCGGTTTCTTCTTGATGGTGAACCTTTCCGTTACATCTCTGGATCTATACATTATTTTCGTGTACATCCTACATACTGGAGAGACAGGTGTCGGGTTTTTTTTACTTTTTGAAAAGCTCTCGAGTGGAAGCGTGATTTAGCATTTTATTGACACAGACAAAGGATTGCCTGTGTCAATTAAATGCTAAATCATTGTCAAGATAATTTCCCAAAAATATAGTTGAACAAATATCAAAAATTATGAACTGCTATATCAAACTAAACAACATCGGCAAATACAAGAGCTGTCTTTACTATTTTCGCAGTGACATTCGCGTGAGATTTGACTCAATAAAAAGCCATTCTTTCAGGTTGTATCGAATACGAGCTTTAGGTCTCAATGCTATTCAATACTATATTCCTTGGAACTTTCACGAGCTTTATGAAGGAAAGTAAGTCTTATAGTGATTGATTTGCTGTGAATGTCACAGACTGAAGCGACAAATATGTTTTCCTCTGTTATCGTGCTTTAATTAGTGATTTGAAGCAAGCTCTTCATACTTAGCTTATTCATTTTTTAGGAACTTCAAAAATTCTTGAGATAATAGTCTAACAGCTTTGCAAAGGGAGTTATCAGTCAAAATTGAAAGAGATTTTTGCGTTGTTTTTTGACTTTGATTTGTTGAAAGTTTGATTTACACATATTAAAGACTTGATACGGTAGTATGTAGGTATGAATGTGAAGGGCAAAAGTTAAAATACAGCATTTGTACTATGTAGTGTTTATTGTAGATTCGACTTTTCTGAATGGAGAAATTTCACCAAATTTTCCCTTATCGCTCAAGATCTAGGCTTATACAGCATAATCAGAATAGGTGAGTTACATTAGCGAGTCAGAAAGAATAATTATCATCCACTTGCTTAAGGTCCCTACATCTGTGCAGAATGGGAATACGGTGGCTTGCCTTGGTGGCTGTCAAATAAGAAGGGCTGCCGACCTCGAACGAGCGAAAAAGGGTAGTTTTTTGACTAATATCAAGAGAAATCACTGAAATCATTGATTAGATTTATGCAAGCTGTGCAAAACTTCTATAAGGCATTGCTCCCTGTTATAAAACCACTGCTGCGAAAAAATGGAGGTCCCGTGTTAATGCTGCAGATCGAGAATGAGTACGGTAGCACCTCCTTCTGCGACAGGTAGGCGCTAGTTCAAAATCTGTAGCACATAAATAGAGTTCTGAAACAATTCCAGAATTTATACGGCTTGGCTACGAGATTACGTTCGCAGTTATCTTGGCAATGATACTGTTATATTTACAAGTAAGTCACATCGAATTCAACATATAAAAGTACGAAAGTTTTCTTTGCAGCTGACGGAGGAGCAGAAAGTTATCTGAAGTGTGGAGCAGTACCTAACACATATCCCACGGTTGATTTTGGTCCAACTTCAGAAGAAAACATCAAAGCTGCATTCGAAGCCGAACGAAAATACATGCCCAATGGTTTGAGAGGAGCTTTATAGCTATCTGGCTTTCAAAATTTTCGAAATCACGGTTTTTGCTCATAATGGTTCTACGGGGTTCATACTCATTCCACACTAGGCGTTACTTCTACTAATACACATGATATTCGTAATAATAACGTAGTAAATAACAGCCCCATTAGAGATTTCGGCAAATTTTCAGATTTTAGGTTCTACCGTACTCCTACTTTGAGCTTGCTTCAGTAAATCGCTATCATTTTTATTGACAGCATGTAGAATCCACAGGTCGATTTTGAAAAAAAAACTTGATTTTGGGTTTTTGAGGTCCTGATAGCGAATAAAGCTGGAAAACCTCACGAAAGCACGTTTATTTTTAGCGTTTCAGGTCGCGGGCCCTTGGCAAATTCTGAATTTTATACTGGATGGTACGTGTTGTGGGGAGCAAAGACTGCTCACGTTCCGACATCTGATGATATTGTGAAATCAGCAACATGCAAGTCTCTATTTGTAAACAACATGAAATTTTGAAAGTTTCTGATAGCATCATTCCGATTCAGATATGTATAGTCTGGGAGCGAGCTTCAATTTTTATTTGGTTCATGGTGGTACCAATTTTGCCTTTTGGAATGGAGCCAATACAAAGGCACCGGTAAGTGCCTTAAAAGAATTTTATTAGAAAACAAGTTTTTTGGATATCATGCTTCTGTATGATTATTGTATAGCTAATCCTCTACAAAACTTTTGCTATTTTTTTCGTGGCTATTTTCATTTCCAAAGCGTGATGTACATCGCTGTCATGAAAACATGATCTTATATATAAAGCTGAATGTCTGTTTGTCTGTATGTCTGTCTGTATGTGTCTGTCTGTACGTATGTTCCGAATAGAAAATTCCATTTCTGAACCGATCGGGACCAAACTTGGCACACATACACTTCGGGCCCCGGCGGGTGTCATAGGCTACTTTTCGTCATCGATCGATATCGATTTTATCGATTTTTTTGCAAAATTTGAGCTACGGGGCTGGGAGTTGGCAAATCGAGCATGCTGATCACCCGTGGGGGTGATCAGCATGCTCGATTACACCCCCCTGCCAAATTCCAGCCCCTAGCTCGAATTTTGCAAAAAATCGATAAAATTGACATCGGAAAGTGGACTGTGACACCCGCCGGGGCCCGAAGTGTATGTGTGCCAAGTTTGGTCCGGATCGGTTAAGAAATGGAATTTTCTATTCGGAACATACGGCGGAGCCGGGTAAGCCAGCTAGTTATCTATAAGTACGAAACTAATTTTTACAAAAATCGAAAATGGCAGTTACATCGACAAGCTTAGATACTTAGATACTTAGATGGCCCGGCTTCACGTGACGTGCGGGCCCCAGCTCAGAAGTTTCCATTTTTCCCTGTCCCTCGCTTCTGACATCCACGATCTTCTTGGCTGACGTCGGTGGCTGCGTCCACGAGTTCCAGGTGCAAAAATCGTATCCAGCTGATTTCTCAGCTGGTCCATCCGTTCCACGAAAACGTCTGCCCATCTCGTTGGAGGTCTTCCTCGGGGACGTTTTGCTTCGCGAGGAATCCACTCCGATGTTCTTAGTGTCCATCTGTCGTCTGTTCTTCTCATAATGTGACCGGCCCACCGATGCTTCGCTTTCGCAACGTAATCCGCTGGGTCACGAAGACGGGACATTCTCCTCACATCCGTACTGCGAAGTCCGACGAGATGTTGTTTGTGTCGGGTCATCTTCAGAAGACTACGCTCTAGCGCTCTGTGGGTGGTCCTTAAAGCTTTCGAAGTGGCGACGGTGTCAGCCCAAGTCTCAGCTGCGTAACAGAGCGCCGGGAGAACGGTTGAGTCGAACAGGTGAGCACGAAGCTCCGGGTCCGTCAGTTGGTCGGTGGCTTCCTTCAGAGGCCCGAAGGCGGCCCAGGCTGCTCTTCTTCTCCTGTTGAGTTCTTTCCTCAAGTCGTTCTCCATGTTCATCGAACGTCCGAGATACACGTAAGAAGACGTCTCCGTGATAGGGTTGCCTTCCAATTCCATTTCTGCATCTTCGCAAAGGGCGTTCTTCGTGAACTGAGTCTTCTTCCGATTGATTCGCAATCCGATCTTCTTCCCTACTTCGTTCAGTTCCTTCAGCATCGTCTCTGCTTCAGTGATATATTTCGAAAAGAGAACGATGTCATCCGCAAAACGAAGGTTCGACAGGAATCTCCCATCAACTCGTATGCCTCTCTCGTCCCAGTCCAGTGACTTCATCACCCACTGCAAGGCCGCGGTGAACAGCTTCGGCGAAATTGTGTTGCCTTGTCGGACCCCCTTCCCAACTGGGATGGTCAGGGGGCGGTGGAACAGCTGCATCGTCGTTGTACACTCCTTGTAACAGTCGGCTAACGTCCTCACGTAAGCTGGGTCCACTCCTTGATCGACTAGCGCAGACAGGATGGCGTTGGCTTCTACGCTGTCAAAGGCGTCGACAAAGGTTAGGACGAGAGGCAGTCTGTATTCCCGGCAGACTTCTATAACCCTCGAAACCGTCTGGATGTGGTCCATGCAGCTGAATCCTTTGCGAAATCCAGCTTGTTCTTGGGGTTGGGCTTCATCCAGTGTCCTAGATATGCGAGCGAGGATAATCTTCGTGAAAAGCTTGTACAGCACACTCAGCAGGCATATTGGACGTAGTTTCAAAGATCTTCCCGTTCACCCTTCTTGAAAAGAAGGACGGTTCTTGATGTTCTCCACTGGTCGGGAATCCTTTCCTTCTGAAGGTAAGATGTTAGGTGCGCGCGAGAATCTCGTGTAGACGTTGTCCTCCAGCTCGCAGAAATTCGACGGAAAGATGGTCTGGTCCTGGAGCCGTGGACGTCTTCATGGTCTGAATCGCTGTGCGCACTTCAGCAGGTAGAATTCGTGGTGGTACCTCTCCAGTGGGAACAACGGGCATCGGCACGGGTGTTGATGAGCGGAAGAGGTTGGTATAGAAGTTCTTCGCGATAGATTCCATCTTGTATCGGGAAGAAGTCGGAGTCCCGTCTTCGTTTAATAGTGCAGCCAGCGGTACGTGATATTCGCAAAGGTCCCTTCGGCACTTCTTAAGACTTCGTCTTCTTTCGGCTGCTTCCAGTATCTTGGCTTGCCTGTACTTCCTGAGATCCTCTTGCAAAGGTGTTCTGCAACTGGCGTTGGCTATCAGTCGCTCGAGATGGGTTGCATTTGGATCCTGCCTCAGAAATCTTCTTCTTTCGAGCATTTCCTTGGTAGCCTTCGAAATGCGTTCCACGTTCTTTTCGAAAGTCACTGAGGCGCACTCTCCGCAGGCTCGCAATCCTTTCAAAAGCCGGTCGTAGTCGTACGTTGGGTCCTCCTCGATGGGCCAGTCACAACTTGATATGAGCTCCTCCAGCCTGTTACCGTCATAAACGACATTCTTCCTTCTTGCGGCACTGTGACAGACCTTCTTTTCCAGCCTTCGACTGAATCGTACCTTCGCTCGAAGGAGGCGATGATCGGAGCCACTGCAGAAGGATGGAACCACTGAGACATCGAGCAAGCTCCACCTTCGGTTGGTGAGAATGTGGTCCATCTCCGCGTGAGTCGTTCCGTTGGGCGATTCCCATGTCCACCGGCGATGTTCTTTCTTCATGAAGATGGAATTTCCATGGAAAAGTCGTGCGGCGGAGAGAAGCCCAACAAGACGGTTGCCGTTTTCGTTCCGGAGCCCATATCCAAATTCCCGATCCTATATTCCTTTTCCAGTGGCATCCCGATTTTCGCGTTGAAGTCGCCCACAACAAACTTGTAAAAGGACTTCTCGTTGCGGACGACCTCCTCCACATCTTCGTAGAAAGCATCTAGTTCTATTCGTCAGCTGCTGATGTTGGAGAATAGCAGTTGATGATGCTGATGGTCTTCTGATGTGGAGGTCGTAGTCGTAGGATGCCTAGTCGAGGTGATAGGATCTCGTGCGAATCGACAAGATGGACGATAGATGAGGGACGACAAAGCCGACGCCTCCCACGTTTCGTGATGGAACCTTTTCACCACAAATGATGAGGGTCCTATCACTCATCTGTCGCACGTCCTTCTTCCTGGACTTCGTTTCCTGCAGAGCGATGATGTGGTACTTGATGTGCTCTGCAGCGTCGAGAAGAGCGTGGAGGTCGGCGTTTGTGGAGACTGTCCTGGCGTTGTAGGTGCAGAGCATGAGGCAGTCTCCATGGCGTGTCGTCCGGCGACGTGTCGTTTTTGTCCGATCCAAAAGGCGCCCTAAGGACCCTGACATCGTTCTTGCTACCACCCGGCGCCGTAGGCGGGATCCGATGTACAGAGTTTTTTCTAAATCTTCTTGCTGTCTGAGTAATACAATTTGTTCCCCTACAAGAGCAGACTTACTAGGCCAACTCTTGATTTCCACGAGGCGATCGCTGACCCCGGGCTTGGAGCGGGGAGAACCGCCTAGGGACCAGAAGAAGCCAGACGGCGGGGAATCTGGCGTGGCCGGTTCTTAGCTAGGCATCCGGCCGAGACCGTAAACGTCGAACTCCTTCACAGCTTGGGAGGCCCTACCAGAGTATACACTCGGCTGTGCATCGCAGTTCGACACCCACTGTCACCCCCACGCCACGATGAGGCGACCGACCATTGTGGGGGCATCGACAAGCTACTAACAAAAATTTCGAATAAATTTAGAATCTGGTTCTTCTGAATTTTTCTAGTTTTTGATGTTTGTGATGGTCTGATTATCGAATTGGATATTTATGCGTGCCTTTCAGGTCATCACTTCCTACGACTTCTTTGCCCCAATATCGGAATGTGGTGACGTCAACGACAAATACCTTGCCATTCGCAAATGGATAAAGACCATTCCTGATTGGAAGAATAAACCTTTGGACGTTCCAACTAACAACAAGTTAGTAATCTATAGGATAAACTTTGACTTTTACGATATTTCCAGGAAGACTGCTTATGGCAATATTGAAATGACACCACTAAATGTTCTCGGTGCCACGAATAAAGGCTGCATAAAGTCAGTGCATCCAAAATCCTTCGAGCAGCTTCAGCAACCATTCGGGTTTGTTCTCTATGAGAAGGTGAATAAAAATTTGTTTTTTAAGCTAGGGTACAAGTGAACAAAATATTTTTCAGAAGTTGGAAAGATGTGGAAACACCTTGAGAATCGAGCTTTTAAAGGACTTTGGATATGTGTTCCTAAATATGCGTCACGTTGTTAGTCACCTCCCTCCCCCCCCCCCCCGCCCCATCCCTGAAACTGGCACATTGAAATTATCTAGTAAAAAGCTCTTCAGGGGACATTTGTCCACTCTTACTACGGAAAATCGGTACAATCGGTGGAACTAGAAGGATGTAAACCTCACGATATGCTTACTATTATCGTTGAGAACACAGGGCGATTGAATTACGGCTCAGAAACTGATCCAAAGGTAGCCATATTTATTTATAATTTCCTTGCAAAGACTTGATGCAATGTGCTTTTAATTAGGGAATACTTTCGAAAGTACAGCTTGACGGTAAAGTCTTGAAAGGATGGCGACAATGCAAACTGACACTTCCAATAACGGTCTTAAAAAGAAAGTCCGCAGAGTCGGTAGGTTAACGTCGTTGTGTTGTAAAATTTATTAGGTTGTCCGGAAATTAATGCAGGTTTTGCATATTCTCACTTCAAAGCGTCATAACTCCTTTAAAATCGTATATTTTGAAATAGGTAAAAACTACTGTAATCAGCAAGTCTTTTTCTATTTGCGCCATTTTCTTTTGTAACTGTAGCTCCAACAAGCAAATTACTGAAAGCCAGAAAGTAGAAAGAAATTTTTTTGACAAGGTCATACTTGGCAAGTTGTAAACTCCTACCGATGAGTTCAGCCAGAAACTCCTGTAGCTTATAGCCACAGACCAGTATTACATATACAGCTATGCAAAAAAATTTAGAAATTTTCTGCAAGAGAAAAATTTGCGGAATCAAAAATTTCCATTTTTTCGATATTTCCTCCACGGCTGCGATCTCCGATAATTTGAATTTTTTTATTAACTCATCAAAAATAAAGCCTGGGGGTACCAGTTGAGATGATATCTGGCGGCACTGGCCTCACTCTTCAAGCACTAGGAGAGACCTTCACGGTTGGTTTCTTTAGAAAAGTTTTATACGCTATGGAGTGGCCGCGACAATTATTCATGTTAAAGCCTCAGTTTCTCTAGTCTCACAATCGTTCAAAAGAAGCGCTACTATCTATTTTGTAGATTCACTCAATATCTTGCTTCAGCTCTATTATCATGGAAATACCCCTCTTGCCAAATAAGTTCAAGCCAAAATAGTGCAAAGGGTAAATTTAGTAATTTAAAGCTTCATCTTCGGATGGTTGTAGATTTTGAACAAATGAAGTTAGTCGTAAAAGTAGTACATATAAGAGAGAGCATGAAGAGCGGCTTCTTTTAGTATGCGAAATTGGTCGAAAGATGCACTAACACGGAAGGATGATCCTTTTTAAATTGCATTTGCAGAAACCTGCATTAATTTCCGGACAACCTAATATTTATTTATTTATTTATTTAATACATTACTATAGTGTAATGTGCTAGATAGTCACTAAAACAGAAATGATGCACGATACATACGAAGAAATATGTACAGATGATACGCTTTCATTTTCACATCGCTAAATCTTCTGCTTAAAAATTATAAACAAGGTTAAAAAGTTTTGGTTATAGTGAATTAATTCGAAAAAGTGGTATGTTAGTATGCGAAGGAATGGAAAAGGGGTTATGAGGGGATAAGACTGAATGGGGGATTTTCATATTTTCGGATTTTGGGGAGTATGCTCAATCCGAGAGTCTGGGTTAATTGGAGTAATTTCCTTGTTTCATGAAGAGTGAATTTTGTGACTACGAACAAAATTCCCTTTTCATTGCTAATGCTGATTTCAGCAAGCAGCGGGTGAACCTGCCTTCTACATTGGAAGCTTTACGGCAAAAGAAGCTACGGACACTTTCTTGAACACAACAGGGTGGGGTAAAGGCGTTGCTATACTTAACGGCAATAATTTGGGACGATATTGGCCTACACAAGGCCCACAGGTATTGAATACTCCTTCGTAGCAGAGTTTACTCACCGTTTTTAGCATACACTTTACGTTCCTGATTTCGTTCACATCGGTCTTAACACTTTGACGCTGCTGGAAATGGAAGGAGTAAAGACTTGTCAGAAAAATCTCTGCAATATATCATTCATAGATCATCCAGTTTTCATTTGGGAAAAAATTTACCATCATGACGACTTCTTTGATGGTCGACGACGACATGCTGGTCTATAAAAAATAATTATCCGCGTATTTATGTATTACCTATGTTTAAACAACTTACCCTCACCGCTGAAACTAAACTCCATCTATAGCAATTGTAAAGTTCTAAATTAAATAATGGATCGTAATCAAATGGATTGTTTTTGTCTATGCTGCACTCAATCGCACCTGTGAAGTCTTGCGCCTTATACTTTCGGAGAATATCACAACTGGCCACTAGTACATCTAAAGTTGAGATTAGAGCAGTAGCTTTTTGGGTTTGCTCACTCTTCATAAAATGGTTTTCCGTTTTATCTTTTCCAAAATAGAATAAGTTCAGTTCTGGTTTGAGACAGCTGTAATTGGATCTCTACTTCAGGTTTCTATTCTCAATCTTGTAGGATACCCCTGTACTTGTAGTTCAGAGATTGGTTTGATGCAGCTGCCAAAGCATAGCCGTTGTGATATACAGCGAATCAAGTAAAGTTTACAGACCACTCATCAGACGCAAAGACTTGACGCCGTTACTTCCAATCGAGAGAGTGCGTGTATAGAAGAGACAGCAAACGGTTAGAGGAATAGATGCGCTTGCGATGCAAGGAACGCCGGCAATGTCCGCACTGTCGTCGTGTCTTGCGTGCGTTTGATTGGCTATATATAAAAGTGGTGACGTTCTATAGGGTATAAAATGGTTGAGCTGGACGTTCCAGATTTTTTCTTTAAAAAACTATTAGGGTGGCTAAAATTCACTAAGTTCGCTTTTGTGGCTTCACAGCAGACAGATTTTTGCCCAACAGTTGGATCTCTGGAAAGAACACTTCATGTCAATTGGAAGCGAATTGTGGTTGAGAGGACTTCATTTTCGAATGAAGGAAAGCGCGGACAAGTGCGATACATCCATTTTATAAATGCAAATGTAAAATTTCGTTCTTCGATAACATAGTTTTGAAAAACGAACTTATTTTTAAGTCACTCACCTTTTATTAAGAAAGATGGTTGAAGCAAATCTGCGTGCATGTTAGAGTTAAATTAGTTTTACTCAACTTGAACTTTATTTGAACTAGACATTCGAAACCGTTTCATTATAAAGCCCAAAGAGTAAAGAACAAGCCAGAAACAGCTTCGTTCTTCATGTTACTGCGTTGATTAATGAGGTCGGAATGCAACAGTTGCATGGATGGATCAGGATGTTCGCCTCGCTCAGTACAAATTCACATATTTCTTCGCTCCTGTGCGAAGTATTTCGGGCCTGCTTTCGTTCTGAATGTGGCCTATTTCTTTAGTTTCTATACTATTTCTAGCAGGTCTATATCCGCTTAGCTCCACTGAGGAGGCATCAAAAACTAAGTGGGTTATTTCAAGGATGCAGGTACAGGAAAATTCAGTAGAAATTTACAGCGCTCCTTCTTTCGTTGTTGATTATGCTAAGGATCAATTCCTGCTCGATGGTGAACCTTTTCGCTATATTTCTGGATCTATTCACTATTTTCGGGTGCCTCCGTCATATTGGAAAGACAGGTAAACATTAATCTGCAATTTTGACGAATTTCTAGAAGGATAAAAATTCGGCAAATGTCACTTTCAATATTTTAATATCATCGAATGTTCTTCTGTTGCGAAAGAAAGAAATGAAAAAAAAATAGGGAAGTAATAAAAATGGATAACAAGTATAAGCGGTCTAAGCAAAACTACAGCCATTCCGAAAATTGTGGCATTTATTGTCAGATACGATTTTTTCAGATTATATCGAATACGAGCCCTAGGTTTCAACGCCATCCAATACTACATCCCCTGGAACTTTCACGAGATCTACGAAGGAAAGTGAGTTGAAAGACATGAACTGAATTTTGAAGGTGGTGATGCATTCAAGCCTATTTTGAATGGACACCTTGTTCCAAAGAAATGATCACGTCGGCTTTTGTTTCAACTGCTGACTTCAGAAAGTGTTCTAAAAAAATCGATGACAGCCTAGTATTTTGTGACTCCACTTTTTATTTGATAAATGAACTCGAGATGAACTTACAATGAACGCAATTTATCTTGCGCAGTTTGCAAAGCACTGCAATATGATTTTTCTAGGTTTGATTTTTCTGGATGGCGCAATTTCACCGAATTTTCTCTTACTGCACAAGATCTAGGCTTGTACACCATTCTGAGAATCGGTAAGTGCATTAGGTGACCTATAACCCCTGATGAAGCCCACATTTTAGGCCCTTACACCTGCGGCGAATGGGAAAACGGCGGTTTTCCATACTGGCTTCTGAATAAGGAAGGCAACAAACCACGTACGAGTGAAAAAGGGTATGCTAAGAAAAAAATTTTTTTTTGAAAATTCATAAATGTCTGCAACAGGTTTATGAAAGCTGTCGAAAAGTTCTTTAAAGTATTACTCCCTGTCATAAAGCCACTGCTACGGAGAAACGGTGGTCCTGTGCTGATGCTGCAAATTGAGAATGAGTACGGTAGCACCGCCTTCTGCGACAGGTATGTCTCTTTCGACTTGAAAAGGTAGGGGGCTTTCAAAAATTTTTAGAACCTATACGGCCTGGCTCCGGGACTATGTTCGCGGTCATCTTGGCAACGACACTGTAATTTACACAAGTAAATGACCAGAATCCAATATTTAGAGTACCTAAAGCCTTTCTTGCAGCTGATGGAGGAGCAGAAAGTTATCTGAAGTGTGGAGCAGTACCTGACACATATCCTACTGTCGATTTTGGTCCAACTTCTGACGAGAATATTAAAGCGGCATTCGAAGCCCAACGAAAATACATGCCTAATGGTTTATAGATAGCTGCACAAGCTAAACACAACTGCTTTTGTTCTTTCAGGGAGAGGACCCATAGCAAACTCGGAGTTCTACCCAGGCTGGTTTGTGCTATGGGGAGCGAAATCTGCTCATGTCCCGACAGTCGATGCTATCATGAAATCGGCAAAGTGTGAGTTATTCTGCTAGGGAGGCTAAATCTAAGTTTTTATGCTATATCCTAATTCGATATCAGTTCAGATATGTACAGTTTGGGAGCAAGTTTCAACTTCTACATGATCCATGGTGGCACCAATTTTGCCTTCTGGAATGGTGCTTCCACAAATGCTCCAGTAAGTGGTTAGAAGGCAAGACTTACGTTATGATATAGAGCTTGAGTTCCAAAAAAAACTTAAATGGGGGGTAGGTCGGTCTAAGCGAAATTTGACAATATTCTGCCTTGCCGATTGCAGAGATTGGACTCTTTTCATTGAGCTCTCAAGACTTCTAAATACAACAGCATTTATCAAGATATCTGATAAGCATCTTCCAAAGAATTAGTCGGGAAAAAATGCTAATTTTGACTCACTACTTTTCCAAAAATTTTCTCACTTGATAGTTTATATCCCAGAGGTCCCACATGTCGTTGTAGGACATTACATCCTATGACTACTTTGCCCCAATATCTGAAGCTGGCGACGTTAACGAGAAATATTTGGCTATTCGTACATGGATCAAGAGCCTTCCCAATTGGAAGAATAAGCCCTTCGACGTTCCAGCTAACAACAAGTCGATATTTAAACATTGTATCAGATGTGTGAGCTAAAGCTGCAGTTTTAGAAAGACCGCTTATGGCAATGTCGAAATGAGGCCACTGAACATTCTTAGCGCTAAGAATGATGCCTGCGTAAAGTCAGTGCATCCAATACCTTTCGAACATCTTCACCAGCCATTTGGATTTGTCCTCTACTATAAGGTACAGTTCTTCAAGCCAGTAATCATCTGACAAGCAGAGGCTAAGAGGCTTTTCAGAAATTGGAAAGATGTGGCAACACCTTAAAAATCAGTCTTCTGAAGGACTTCGGATATGTGTTCCTAAATATGCGTCACGTTGTTAGTTAGATGAAATCAAATAATATCTTCCGCTGACAGTAATGTTTTCAGGGAACACTGATACACTCCTTTTACGGAAAGTCCCAGCAGTCGGTAGAACTGAAAGGTTGCAAACCTCACGACACACTTGCTATTCTGGTTGAAAATACGGCACGCTTGACATCTGGAACAGAAAATGATACGAAAGTGGGTGGTCATTTTGTATTTGGCTACTTATACTACTAATTGTTCCCATTCAGGGCATACTTTCGGAAGTGCATCTTGATGGCGAAGTTCTGAAAGGATGGCGACAATGCAAGTTGGCACTTCCGATAACACTCTCAAGGATAAATTATGCCGATTCGGTTCGTTACTGTAAAGTGCATTTTCTTCCAAAAAGCAGAGCACTGCAACAAAATTGTCAAAAATTATGAATAAGTCATGCGAACTATAATAGATCAATGTAAAAGTCGTTACATGATTTTTCTTCTACTTTACATAGTGATGGTAAACAATACCATTGAAAGATGTTCTCAGTGCTTGTACAAGTTTCAGCAACGAGCGGGTGAGCCCGGATTCTACATCGGAAGCTTTATGGCAAAGGAAGCAACGGACACCTTTTTGAACACAACCGGATGGGGTAAAGGAGTCGCTATGCTCAACGGCAACAACTTGGGGCGATATTGGCCCTTACAAGGCCCTCAGGTAGATGTTTCTTTCCTAATGACCACCATTCATCTTATATATAAAGCTGAATGTCTGTTTGTATGTCTGTCTGTCTGTATGTGTGTACGTATGTTCCGAATAGAAAAATCCATTTCTGAACCGATCCGGACCAAACTTGGCACACATACGCTACGGGCCCCGGCGGGTGTCATAGGCTACTTTTCGTCATCGATCGATATCGATTTTATCGATTTTTATCGATTTTTTTGCTGAGTTCACCTACGGGGCTGGGAGTTGGCACAGGGGGGTAATCGAGCATGCTGATCATCCCCAAGGGGGGTGATCAGCATGCTCGATTACACCCCTGTGCCAAATTCCAGCCCCCTAGCTCAAATTTTCAAAAAATCGATAAAATCGATTAAAGTAATGGACGATCTTGAAAACTAATATTGTGTTCGTAATCAGCATGCTCGATTACCCCCCTGTGCAGAATCCCAGCCTCGCATGTCAAAATTTACAAAAAATCGATAAAATCAATAAAAGTAATCGATAATTCTGAAAACTAATATTGTATTCGGAATCCCCATGCTCACTTCCCCCCTGTGCAAACTCCTAGCCCTGTAGGTGAACTCTGCAAAAAAATCGATAAAAATCGGTAAAATCGACATCGATCGATAACGAAAAGTGGACTGTGACACCCGCCGGGGCCCGAAGTGTATGTGTGCCAAGTTTGGTCCGGATCCGGCGGAGCCGGGTAAGCCAGCTAGTTGTCCATATTTTAGCACACACTGTACGTTCCGGCTGAATTCGTTCGTGCCGGACAAAACACACTGACACTGATGGAGCTGGAAGGAGTGAAGACTTGTCAGAAAAATGTCTGCAATACTTCGTTCATAGATCAGCCAGTGTTTATCTGGGAGCAGATTTACAACCATGGAGACTTCTTCAATGGTCGAAGGAGACAGAAGGGCTTCAACAAAAAATAATAAACGAAGATTTGTTTAGCAAATTTTTGAGCCCTGATCACAAGTTCGTACTTCGAAGCAATTTGTGCATGTTTACTAAGGGAAATCTTTTGAGATTTTTTTAAAACTTGAGCAGTGAATCCCAGGTTCAAACATTCATTGTGAGAATCTCATATAATGGCTAAATAACATTCAGGGAATTAGACATAAGTGAAAGTGACTTTTCCAAGCTCCGCGTAACTTTTGGCTTTGCTATCAGAGATGAGACCGTGAACCTCCTTTAGCAATAATCGTACATCGCCGAAGCGGAGCATTGATCACAATAAGGAGTTTTGAAAGCACAATCAAGCAGATTTTCGCTCGATGTAGTGTGCGGTGCATAAATGCGATTTGCGCGAACAAATAGCTGCCATGGTAACGTATTTGCGCGCGCAAAATATAAGCTCCTGCAAGACGAAGGCGGTTGGTTCGATGTGCAACGCGGCTGCGACATGGCTGCGTCACAGCAGCGTCACAGCCGCGTCACAGCTACGTCGCGCCTCGAACCAACCGCCTTCGTCTTGCAGGAGCTTATACCTGCGTCTCTTTCGTGACTACTTGTTCACTCGCAAATTTCTTTTTTCTCAACACCTCAAGCACGCTTATTAAACAGAAAATCACCTCGACCGTACATCACATAACTATGTCAGCTGGTCGGAAGACGCGTCTCCCACGCTGTCACCGAAACTCCCGATTCCAGTTTTGCAACTTTGATCTCGGAGTGCTTACTTGTGCGCTGATGAGTGAGACTGCCCACTGGGCTGATAGAGGAGAGCGTCTTAGTAGGTTTTAATTTCAAAGTGGTTGACGGGGTAGGCTCCTTTAGTGTCAGCAGTCGCAGTGCTTATTTTTGTACTCACCAATGCACAAAATTAAATAGCTAGATCGAACATTGCAGTAGAAAATGTTGTGACTAGATGGCAACGTGATCGAAATCACATCGTTGTAAGGCATTACTTTCTATGGCTACTCCAGTATTTGAAGCTGGAGAAATCAACGAGTTCCCCATGTGATGGGACAAAGATCTCTAAGAGCTCTTGGAAGCATTCGATGCAGAATTTTATCCTCTTTCTAACGTTTATAAAATTATTGCAGCATAGTCAATGAGCTTTTGAAAAATTATTATTATTTGAAGATCTGCGATCCATGCTTTTTGAGATGCTCAAGTTTCACAATTTTTCTAAATTTTTACACCAGTCCTCCGAAGGTGTCCAAGTAACGATTCGATAAAGCAAACCTTATTTTTATATCTCGCCGTAATTTCTCAAAAGATTTATCATTAGAACCATCGAATTTTGACAGGCCTACGTCAGCCACATTCGCATCAAACACCAATAAATCTTCGGAAATTGAAACTTCCAAGATGGTATTATGATTCAACACTAATTTTACAAAGCGAATGCGAGTTTACGGAATCGAAATATCTATTTTCGATTTTTCTGGGTACAGCCCGGAACGTGCTCGAAAAATGAATTGCGATGATTTTGTGCGTAAAAACTCCCTCCATGAATGGCAGACAAAAAACATCCATTGGAAAGAGAAGAACAAGCTGCATCGAATGGCATACGAGCTGCTTACCGTTTGATGTTTCACGATGTTAGAGTTGACCAAGAATGGAAATTGGTATCATTAATCAAAATTCTATTGAAAAATTTTGAGAATTTATGCGAAGAAGGAAAAATGGTTTTGTATCCTGTAGGGTTTGCTCTATCAAACCGTTACTTGGACTCCTTCGGAGGATGAATACAGAAATTTAGAAAAACTGTGAAACTTGACCTTCACGAAAAGCATGGATCGCAGACTTTTGTAATTTTTTCAAAAGCTCATTGACTATTCTGCAATAATTTTATAAACGTTAGAAAGAGGATGACATTCTGCATCGAATGCTACCAAGACCTCTTAGAAATCTGTGTTCCATCACATGTGGCGTCCGTTTGAAAAAAGCGAAATTACTTTCGGAATGACTTATATGTTATAAAAATGTGCAAGCGACTTGTTTTTACTTGTAAATAATTAAAATAATCCTTAAAAAGTTTTAAAAATTCAAATTAGCCTTGTAGAAAATTTTTTTGCGTCATAGCGACAACAATCGATATCTATACAGTGTATCAGATGTGTGAGCTAAAGCTGCAGTTTTAGAAAGACCGCTTATGGTAGTGTCGAAATGAGGTCAACAGACATTCTTAGTGCTAAGAATGATGTCTACGTAAAGTCAGTGCATCCAATACCTTTCGAACACCTTCCATTTGGATTTGTTCTTTATGACAAAGGTACCGTTTTGAAGTCCGTACTATTCGACAGCCTAACAAAATATCTTTAGAAATTGGAAAGATGTGGCAGGATTTTAAAATTCATTTTACTGAAGACTTTGGATATGTGTTTTTGAACATGCGTCACGTTGTTAGTCAAATGGAACCAAATCTTCCGCTGACAGAAATATTTTCAGGAAACACTGGTATATTCGTTTTACGGAAAGTTTCGGGGCAGTCGGTGGAATTAAAAGGTTGTAGACCTTACAATACACTTGCTATTCTGGTTGAAAGCACGGCACATTTGACAGCGGGCACATAAAATGACACAAAAGAGGGTAAAAATCGGTGTTGGAATTTTTCATTTAACTGTTCCTGTTTAGGGCGTAGTTTTTTTCTACAAATGTGAGTTAAGTATGATTGGATCTTTTCAGCTTGCGATATTGAAAGCAAAAAATAAGACAGATTTTGGCTTGCTTTTAGTTCCATAGTTTTGAGTTTATTTGAAGTTGGATTCGTAATATGAGCAAACAATTTGAGTTCCTTGTATTGAGTGCAAAAAGAAGTAGCTAACCTATCTTCGAAACGATATCTTAAAAAGTGACCACGTGTTGCGGCTCGGTGTGCTCAGCACCCCTCGGCCTAGTGCTCGTCCGCCTGACAACAAACTCCGAACTTCAGGATGTTCCACTTCTGCGCTAGTGTGCGCACTACCTAGCGCGTCTGTTCGACGCCAACACCCCTACCCGTACAAACAATCACAACACGACTAGATTAAATCACATTTATTAAAACATAAGAACAAACACAAAAAACCTAAAACTACTAAAAGGACTACTATTACTAGACAAAGAAAATGGGCACGGGACGAGCCGCTTCGTCCCGTGCTGCCGATGCTCCAAGAAGATCATCTCCAACGTGTAGTTCCGGGTCCTCCACTGGGTCAACCGCAAGCCCCTGGCCCATACGGGACGGCGTGATCCCTCTCCACTCCCGCAATCCTTTCCTTCTGCGCGATAAACCACAATACTGAGCTGCGCGTCTCCAAACACAAGATGACAAGGGCTCAACCGCTCGAAACCGATGATCATCTGCGGGAGCTACTGGAGGCGCTGCCAGCATGGTAATATCATCAAACGATCGATAGCGAACGGAACTCGAAGAGGCGTAGACCGCGGCCTGCGCGCCCTTATATACCCTGTGACTTGGCAACGCGCCCAGTAAGGGAGAGGTCTTGACGCGAAATTGATAGCAAGTAACGCGGCAGCCAGCGCTCCCGGCCTCCTGTTTCGAAGAGTGGCTTGCATCGCGCGAGCCGCGACACTCCCCCCCCCTCCCGAAACAGTGGACTTGGACGTTCGGATGGTGGTTGCGTGATAGCGCGGGTGTCCACAACGGAGGGCACCTAACTGAGTGTAGCGAAAAAGAAACAATGCTATCGGCAGCACAGTAGAGCGCGCGACGAAAAAGTTGGATGAGTAAAATCCGGCCCGCGCTAAAATAAACAAGTAATAAGCATGGCAAAAAAATGAACTTAGAACGACACGGGATTAATACAGGTAAATACGATTAAATGGATAGAAGTTATACTACTAAACAGCTAAATAAACTAACAACTATTCAAAGATAACTACGTACAATGACTAAATATAAAAAAGTTTTGTCGGCGGCCAGAGGCGCAACCAGTGGAGCACCCTGCTGCGTCCAACCAATCCAAGTGACCATAGCGTGGATCAAACGTGTACCATAACTGCGATGACACTCGACCGCGCGTCCGCACGCCAACCACTGCATACTGCTCGATCTCGCTGAAACAATCGCAGTTTAGGTCAAATAAATCTCAACAAATCATGCTCTCACTCCTCTCTAACCACTGCTACGCACTAGCTCGCCCTAATTTTACTTACGCGCGCCGCGGTGAGGCACGGTGTTCTAGCGCGCTTCACAAAACACCCAGATGGAATTGGGTTACGGGTAACTAGAAGAGCCAGAAGTAAAACGACAACACACTAGCTTTGTATGTTTCGCTCGCGCAAAAAACGGCGTTGTCACTTGCTCCTAAGCAGCGAGACCTACGCGACCAGCTAAGTCAAAAAGTGGACTTCAGTCCAGCCTCCCGCAAGAGCGGGGTGATGTAACCGGGCACTGGACGATGGCTGGTCTCCTCGTTGATCAGACACATCGACCATGTCGGGATTGCTGTGCGTAGACCGTTGTTCTTCTATAGTGCCTCCTGGCTAAATGACTCGACCTGAACAAAAAAAATGTATGTACTTGAATCAAAACGCGCGGATGTTTTGCGCTGCTAAAACATAGGATAATCATGGCGAGTAAAAGTCGTTTGCGCGTGGTGTAAAGTGCGCTGTAGGTAAGTATATATAAAGTAGGGCTCAATACAAGAAAGAAGAAACTGAGAAAAAGGTAGAGTTTTGAAATGGTTTTAGTGGAGTAAGTGTGCACAAAGTTTAGATAGGACGCAAAATAATGGAGTGCACTTCCAGGGTGTCCTGAAGGATAAGAAAAGAAAATAAAGAATGAAGGAAAATCAAATTTTGCTCTTCTTACTTCCCTTGCTGAGGTCCCTAATCTATGGTAGTCGACAGTGTCAATATACATATTTATTGCAAAGTAGTCTAAGTGAGGTAAGATTGTCAGTATGAAGTGAGTTACAATGAAGCGCTAGCTGATACAGCAGAAACACGTAAGCACAACAAAAATGTGAGAAATGACTTA